ACTAATTTTGATAAGCAAGATAAAGGTTACCTTTTGTTGAAGCATTTATTTGCTATTACAGTGTTTGGACGTGTGTAATTTCACTTTCAAGGATCCTTTTTATTGGCCTGAGACTGATTTCTAGGGTGACTGAAACCTATAAGAAGTCCTTTTTACAGGATTTCAGACACATGGCAATAGAGGACTTTGATGACTTGTTTCCTTTTACCACAGGGTTGTAGAGAATGGAAAGAACCCTGCATTTCCTGAGAACTTTTGTTCTTTAGAGGTAAGTCCAAAGACCACTTAAGACAAAGAGATCTTCCCTGGATTTTTGTTATTCAGATGAGCAGAGTTAAGACAGTAGGATGCAAGCCAGTCTTGAGTTGATGGGAAACCTTTGCCCGTTCATTTCTGTTTTAGATAAAATGTATTTTGTTGTTCCTACTGATTTTGGGTGAAATCTGCTAAACAGAAGTAATTATAACTGAAAGAATTGCCTACATTTAAGTTACGAAGATCAAAGGAAATAATTCAAGTAAACGTGCTCTTGGAGGACTGGGCCAAAGATAAGAATCTTTCTGGACCTGTTAATTTCTTGGCAAATTAGGTAGTGAAGATGCCTTTATTTACTCTTCAACATAATAGCAAGTTGAGATAAGCCTGGGTTTGTATAGTGTTGTACTGATGCTTATTGGTTAGTGCCACTTTCCAGTGGTACGGTGAAGCTCTCAGTGTTGTAGATTTGCTGGTATAGCTGAGTAAGATGGATATAGCTCTACAAGGCAACTGAAGTTAATTCTTATGCTCTGTGTACCGTTGGGTGCCTGCCAGTTACCATTGAGTGGATCTGTGAAAAATCTATGACAAAAGCAAGCCTGTTGTTAGGCAGGCTTCATTTTCTGTGCTGAAGTTGGCAACTTCTTTGACAAGTGTTAAAACCTATGTTGGATTGCAGGCCTTTATTTATATATCTGACATAATTCAGATTTTAGACTTTATTCATTTAGTGGAGAGCTGCTTAATTATTTTCTGAGTACATACTTACTGGTAATGTGGAATAGATTGGTCTTGATCCTTCTAAAATAGCCTGAGAAGGTGTCCCAGGAAATGTCATCTGTAGAGATGGTAGGAGGAACAAGCCAAATCACTTGAAGATGTATTTCAGTAGTGATGGAGTGGTAAGAAGGATGTGTCTGTGTAGTTTTTAACTACTTTTAAGCACACGGGTACTCCAAAGGAGGCAGAAGGCTTCTCCACTTTATTTTCTTGCTGCAGACCCACTCACATTTTGAAAGCAGGGTTGTAGGACTGACTGAAACAGTGTTTTCTTCTTGACACCTCCATGCAGCATTAAATAATAAAATAATGGTTTAACATGGTGGTCTTGCTCCCTGCACAGGTATCTACTTAGTGTAGTCTAAGACTGAAATAGTTTGGATAGGTGTACAAATAGTTACTCCATGTGATTTGAACTTTGTTAGAGCCATCTACTTCGGACTCCCTGAATACAGAGTAATATTCTTTGCTCTTTGAACATAATGAGCTTATTTCATGGTATTGCCTAAGGAACAAGCCTGAAAAGCAGTACTGGTTCCTGCAGACTCCTAACTGTGTTCAGGTTTGTCCATGCAGACAGAATTCTGCTGCTTGCCTGCCACCACCCAGAGAGATTTTCTTTTGCGCTCTGGATGAATATGTAAAAAGAAATCTATGAGGAAAGTATGGAATATGTTATAATATCTTAACATGTGTGCCCTGAAACTAAACAGAGGCATGACTGTTTTCCAAGTTACCCTTAAGCAGTTTGACTTGTAGTTTACAGGTGAGTTTGAAAACATGTTATCTGAAAGAAACTTAGGTATGTTTTCAGGCTAATGAATTTTATTTTGAGCTCAGTACTACTTAAGTTTGAGCTTTAAATATTTCAGGAAAAAAAAAAAAATCTGTGTTTCAGTATCATATTTATTTCATAAGTGGATTTTTTTATGTCCATGTCTCCTGTATATACAAGAAGAAGCTGCAGCTCATCCGACAACGAATACCTGGTTGAATACTTAAGTGTAGCAGTGCCTTTGGCCTTGTCTCTGTTATATGACACATCCTGACACTTGTCAGAATGTACTTCTGTTATGTAGTTTCTAAAAAATAAATAAATACTAATTTGTGGTTCTGGGAAATACTGCTGCTTACTCTCACTTTTGTAAGATTCAGACTGCTGGAGTTCAAACTCTTGGTTTAGTTGTATTTGAGTAAATGGCCACAGATTAGACTCCTAGATACAGTGTCTGTGCTGCTGACCAATAATGTAACAAGTGATCTCAACTGTAATGTGTGGGGTTTTTTTTCTCAACTGAAATTTAGTAACTTCTGAATTCTCTTCTGTGTTTGAAAGTGTTTTTTTGAGGAAACAGCCTTGTTGTAACTAAAATCTTAAATTGACAACAGGTCCTCAAGGGAGCATCAAGAACGACATATAATAAACCTTCATAGGACAACAATAACTTGTAACTTTTGGCTTCTGTTGTGAACACAATAAGTAGATCTGGCTAAAAAAACAAAAGTTGGCCACTAGGTAAGAGTATGTCTTAGGGTGGAAAGCCTGGTTGTGTCAAGCCTAGTATATAAATTTCCTTATTACACATTTGAGCTGTGTACCATGCTAAGTGCTGTTGTCCAGAGGAGAACAGAACTATCAAAAGCCAGTACCCAGGGCTTTTAAAGAAATATATTTGTTTGAAGGTGGGAGAAGTCCAGTCTTTGCTTTCCTTGGTACACTGTGATTGTAGATGGCTTACATTGTTTTAGTCTTCAAACTAACATGTGTTCTGTCTGTGTTCTCAGTTCTGGAACTCTTGCCAGCAGTTTAGAGGAGGGTTGACTTTGGGAGGAGGGTAGTGTTTGTGAGTGGCAAGTGAAACGCTTGTGTGCATTGTGAGGATGTACATTAGAACACAATGAGGACCTTGTTAGATTTTCAGCTTTGTATTTTTAGTGTAATTTTTATCATACCTTAGGGTAAAAAGCCTGTTCTGTTGCTTCTTAATGTGATGATTGAGGAAGCAGTAGTTATGCTTTTTTATACGCAGTGGAATTTGTCTTTGGGTAACTTCTATACCAAGTGAATTTAAGAAAACGATACAAAATTGTTCAAGTTGTCAATATTGTGTTAGCGTATGTGAATTTAATGTATAGACTTGAGACAGTCTGACTTGCCGATGTCAGCCCTATCTGGGTGCCTTCACAGTTGTATTATCAGTTGCTTTTAACTTGGAAAGTTCATGCAGCAAATAAAATAGTTGTTCTTTTCAAAACAGAAATCCTTGTTCTCCTGTGCACAGCAAGTTTGTAAAACAAGACAAATACCATTTTTACTACAAAATAATAGAAATTTTTAGTAAGTCTTAATTTCTTTGGAGTTGGATGTATATATATTACTCATCTGCTGATTACTTAGATACATACTGGTGATTTGAGGGACAATGGAGTTTTGTCATGCTCCTTTAGACAAGGCTTGGACTTTTAAGAAAAGAGAGGGTGTTCATAAGCTTCATGTTTTTTCAATATTAATTCTGAAATGTTTGGATAAAATGTTCTGCAGTTTAATCGTTTACTTCAGGAAAATAAGTGTTGTTCGGTTATAAATTTTTTTTTGTATATGCATATGTGCTGCTAACCATGTGTTCATCAGTGAATGCATTCTGAAATATAGTGATGTGGTGGGTTTTTAACACTGCTTTCTCACTGTATTTCCAAAAGTTGTTTTTCTGTGCTTGGTTTTCTCACAAGTATTATGGCAGAGGCAATTGGTGTGTTTTAGTCCTAGATTAACAGTATGCTCAGCCTGCAAAAAGTAGTCAGATTTTCTTTCTTGAGGGGTAGGTAGATAATAAAAACTCAACATACAAGTATGCTTAGGAGTATATTTTCCATGTAGTATGTTACTGATAAAGTATTGATCTGAAGGAGTTACTGTATGACTTATATTTTACTTTCTCATTTTGGTGTTTTAGTAGGATCTTTGAGGAGGGCAACCTGTTTATCTTCAGTTGGTAAACTTAAAATAGTTAGTCTTCCTGCTAGTTAAAACTCTGGAATTGAATATAATATGCGTTGCTGTTAGTGCACTTTTAGTAAGATATGGTACTTATATGTAGGTCTCTTAACTCTGCTGAATCAGGTGATAATTAAATTCTTACCTTCTTATGACAGTAAAATGTCTTTAATTCTTAGAATCATAGAATGTTAGGAGTGGAAGGACCTCTACAGGTAATCTAGTCCAACCCCCCTGCCGGAGCAGGATCCCGTAGGGCAGCCGCACAGGAGCGCATTCAGGCGGGTTTTGTGTCTTCCCGTCCCTTAACAGGAAAAACTTCCATGTTGGTTTGCGTATACCAAGTTTCAGGGTATATTTTGGAGTTTTGCAGATACTCTGCACTGCTTCCCATCATGTTGCATCTGGTTTATTACACAGTGGAAGATTTCAATTAATTACCTGCCCTGCTGTTTTCCTCATGCATCTCTTCTTGCATCTGGTGCACCAGCTTCTGCTGACTGATCCCGCAGTTCATTGCCTTGTTCTGAGCTTCTGCTTGGCTCATCAAGAGCTTTCTCTGTTGTATTTCTCTGCATAAATGGACCTTGTTTGCCAGCAACTACTGTCAGATTAGTACAAGTATTATTATTCATATATGTGTGCACTGAATATTTTGTATTAGCAGCATTTGATTTTGTAAGGTCTTTTTGGAACTGCAGCTTTCACCTGCCTGTTCTGAAGGTATTTCTCAGTAAATCATCTATCCATTTTGTTGTCATCGAATTAAGTTTTTTATTTAAGAATAAAGGAAGCTTTGTTTATTTTTAATGACGTTTTAAAGTGTCTAACTTTTAACTATTTGAATTTAACACTTTTTACGTTAATATTTTCTAAATGTTTCTAATGTTTTATGTAGTTAACTACAGTAATAACCTGAAGTGATTTGCATTTTGTTGAATTTTTTTTTTTTTTTTTATTATTTCAGGAAATGTATGAGGTTGCCAAGAAACTTTGCTCCTTTTGTGAAGGTCTTGTACATGATGAACACCTTCAGCATCAAGGCTGGGCTGCCATAATGGCCAACTTAGAAGATTGTACATACTCTTACCAAAAGCTGCTTTTCAAGTTTGAAAATGTTTATTCCAGCTATTTGCAGTCCATAGATGATATCAAATTGAAACTTACACAGTAGGTTTACCATTAAATTCAGCCTCAGTCTCTGGAGTTACTATGCGGGAAACTTACTTTTTGAGTTTTGGATGTATGGTGCTACTTCTAGTTAGTTAAGCATGTGTATGTTTGGTTATGTGTCACAGAGAATATTATTCTGTTCTTTTTTTCCTTGTATTCATCAGCACACAGAAACCTGTAACAAACAGCTCTTAAAGAGCTGGAGGCCTTCCAAATGTGCACTAGAAATAGGTAGATAACAAGCTTACACATTAATCAAGATTTTTAAATACATGTTTGCACTTTTGAATTAATTGCTTTTTAGTACACGTGAGCAGCAGATGTTAAGGATGATGCTCTATGTTGAAAGTGTGAAGTATAACACAAAATTTCTATCTGTAGAGATACCTTTGAGAGTGCCTGTGTGTGTGTTTACTCGTGTGTTGGAAACGCTGGATGTTAATTCAAGGAAAATCTTGTACATCTTTCTGGACGTAATAATATTATGATATTTCTGAGTGCTTTGCCTAATACCATGTACATAGATGTTGGGTGCTTAAAGACAAAACGCATAATCTTTTTAACCTTTTTTTTAAAAAAAAAATGGTTGAACTTCATAGCTTTTACCAAATATGTAGAAACTATTAAAACTCTGCAAAAGTAGTCAGCCAGAAGACACTCAATATTTGCTAGTAAGCATTGATACCCATTCAGATTGGAAATGTAGAATTCTGGATTGTATTTAAAAAAGGCATGTCTCAATTTATCAGACTGTTGATTTTTTTCGTTGCATTATAAATATAAGCTTACTTGGAAGTTTAGAAGAGTATATTCAGCAGTAGAGGAGAGCAAAAGCTGTAACTTTAATTGTGCTCCCATAGTATTGATACTGAATACAGTATTTTGAAAAGGTAGTTACCGAATTAATTTTGAAAACTGCTTCAGTTCTAAAACAAATAGTACCTTACAGGTGGCTTGTATCTAAGTTTTTATATCACATTGTCTTCTAGATACTGATGGCTTGTTTTTTCTTTTTGCCCTTTTTAAAAAAAGCTTGGGCTCTGCTGTTTCTATCATGGCCAAGATACCACTGCTGGAGTGCCTAACAAGACATAGTTACAGAGAGTGTTTAGGAAGACTGGATTCTTCAGCTGAGCATGGAGGGACAGAAAGTGAAGAAACTGAGGATGGGAAATCTGCTGAATTGGTGCTTTATTCTGATATATCTAAAGTGAACAATAAATCAATGTTAGCCTCATTTTGCAAGTCAGTTGAACATTCGGCTTTGGAAGGCACAGATCCTGAAAATATAAAAGATGATAAGGAATCTGGTCAAAATGCTACTGTCCAGGACAATGAAACATCAGTAGAACTGAAAGATGATGATCAGCCTTCCTTCAGTGTGTCTTTGTTAGACTGGATAAATGTTCAAGATAGACCTAATGATGTTGAATCACTGGTCAGAAAATGTTTTGATTCTATGAGCAGGGTAAGTTAATGATTTTTTTAAAATCAAAACATTGCATTGAATGTTGCTGTTTATCTTCCAGATGCTGGTGCTTTTGAATTGACTGAACTTGTTTTAACTCATTGTTTCTTGGATAACTTTCTGAATGGAGACTAAAGCAGAGCCAGGGGTACTGAGACGGTGGGAAATATTTTAGGAGTTCTTGTGTGTAAAGAATTTGACCTTTACAAAAATGTATAATTTCACAATGAATGGTTGTATCTTGATTGTTTCTCAAATAGCCATTCCTGCCAGTAGCTTCTTATAGCGTAAAAGCAAAGTGACTTCTTTTTTTTCTTTGCCTTTTTTCTTGGAAGTTAGGCTTATAATGAAAGTAATGATTTTCCTGGACTAAAATTAAGGTTCTCTGGGTTAAAAGTACTGAAGCCTTTATTAAAATATAGAACAAATTCCTATGATTAGTTGTGATAAATTTACATACTATATATATATGCATTCTTTATTAGATGGTACAGATGTGCTCTGAAGAGCCCAACATGTCAATTTGTATTTCTGCTGCTGGTAGAATAAAGCATTACTCACTTTCTTTACTTTCAAAATGATGAACCATTGAGCATTACAACCTTTAAAATCCTTTTGCCTAGAGATTTCCTTCTTTCTTTGCTTTCACTGCAGCTTATATTTCTTACGTTGTTTGTGTATTCATAGTTTTATTCTATTACAACTCGATATACCTTGGTCAGCGGAAACAATTTATATTTTCTTTGACACTTTTTCCTCCATAAGGTAAGACTGGACGATTGTCTCCAGTATGAACCCAGTGTGTTGTAGGGAGCATTATGATGCATTCAGTTCTGTACTTTGATTTTTTTTCAATTCTGGCTTAAGAGTAGTTGGAGAATTGGGCTGAATATTAAGGGCTGTTTAAGATTTTGAGCTGTCTGAATTTTAGTAGTTTAGTAAAGGCAAAGAGAAAGATTGGACTTCTAAAACTTTTTTTTCTTTAGCAAAAACAATATTCACTTTTATGCTGAACTCTGAAACAATCCTTTGTCCTGTTTGTTCCGTAATGCTATGAGATGCTCTCTACCACATTAAAACAACAGTATCAATACCCAGTAGTTCGGTTGCGAGAAAATGAATTCACTTTCTACGTAATATTAAGCGGGCAAAAATTTAATGCTCTTAAAAATCAGTATTTTAAGAATCAGATATTAAAGAGTTGCTTCCAGATAAACTGTAGTGATACTAAAGATGCAAAAATGAGTAACCAGTTGAGTTAAAATCCTTTTTTTGTCTTTTTATCAGGTACCTTTTGTATCACATTGTAGTCTTTGTGACATACATGGCATGTTTCAGAGAGGCTATCCTATAATTGTATGCCTTTCTATTCTTGCCTTTTCTAATACTAGTCAAAAATACTTTGTTTCAACTATTTTGAATCTTAAGCAGATTTTTTGTGGAGGAAAAATGTGGTTGTTCGTACTAAAATGAAATATCTTCTTATTTTCTTGGCATAAGCAGAATTGGCAAGTAATGTAAAAGCTTTAGTCAAGACTATTCTGGCCGCCACCAGAAAAAACGTGATTGATCATTCTTGATCTGTTATGGTTCACAAAAAACTCAAAGCTTTCAAGTAATGTGATAATTCCTAGTTTACCTTAGGAGAAAGATTAATATACTGCATTTTGATAGCAGCACAGACAAAGGATTGAATCTTTGCCTACCATTGGTTTTGAAGTAGTCGAAAAACAATTTTGGCCTGTAGCTGAAAAGGAGAAGAAAATACTAAATAAATATCTTGCAACACAGTTGTTTTAATATTTACTTCAGGTGACACTACAACCTGATAAGCTAGAATAAAATGGCAACACATTTGGGGTTTTTTTTTTTGCGTTTTCCCCATGCCCTCTCCTTCTTTGAAATATGAACCATGCAAATGGCTTGTGATTGCAATTCTTATTTGAATCTCTGAATTCAGGTAAGATTTTTTCATGAAACTGTAGAGCATCTTAGTATGAGCTTTATACCTCTGATACTAGTAGACTTGGCGGAACTGGTGTGTTGCAGAGTGCTGCTGGATATCTGTTTCTTCCAGCCTCCTTCAAGGTGTTTCTGCAAAATGATCCTTCTAATTGCAGAAAGCTAGGCTGCAGTAAAAGCAAGTAAAGGTAAGTAGGAGCTGAGCAGATGTTTCTGTTAAGTGCTGTTGTAGCCACCTGAATAAAAGCCTAGAAAAGGAAAGAGACTTTTGAAGATGAAGAGAGCAGTTATTGTCTACCAGTTAAAGTAGAGGTGAGAGTGTTAACAGATGCAGTTAAGTCAGAGATGGATAGAGGAAATAAGTTTCAGGACTAAATGAGAGGAGTAAGCATTCTTTGTTTAAAAAAAAAAAAAAAGAAAGAAAAAAGATAGAAACCAACTTGCTTATGAAGGGGAAAACCAGTATTTTGTCTGTTAAGAAATTGTTCTGGATACTGCAATGGAGTGATTCCGGATTGCACAGGGGAATAATTCTGAAGAGGGTGGCAATGACGATAATCCTATAAAAACAATCTTGTTTAATCCCAGTCTATTTTTTATACCGGTTCTTGAAGAGGGACAAATCACTTGAGAAAGACCAAGATTCTTAGGACTATTTATAACATACCAAAAATTAGCCTTTGTTGTTTTCAGAGAACTTTGACTTACACTGTCACATTAGTAATCACACTGTTCTAAGAAGTTCTGTACTAATCACTGGATTTGACTATGTCCCCCTTGGTCAGTGTTTTTTTTAAATTTTTTTTTTTAAGCTTGTTTTCGTTGGTTTGAAAATAATGGAACACCTATTCTTTGTAGTCGCTCCTTAATATGTAATGCTTTTCCTCTTCACTTTCCTCTCCTTATTCCCCAAAGGGGTGTTGCCAGAAGGAAAAAATGTGCGTGAAAGCTTTTATGCAGTTAAATAATAGATTGAGAGGAAAACAGTACTTTTATTTATGTTAATATTGAGTCATATAAGTGCCAGGTTTTTTTGAGGATTACTTTGTGTGCTCTCTAAGTGGCATGTTGATGAAAAAAGAGTGCTGTGACAGCTAGTGCAACTTGCAGGATGGTGTCTTTTTCACTAGATTCTCATGTAACAGGTAGCATACTATAACCATATTGGATAAATTTGGGCAAATTTCTTCATACTCTGCTAACACCTAATGACTTGCTGTGTTCTCAACTAATATGTTGCGGCTTTGGACAAAACTGTGGCCTACATAGGCTGTCGCAGTTACATATGTTGCTTTTATAATTAAGGAAATAAAGACTTTAATATATTTCACTACTCTTATAATAAAACTTGAAGAGCCACCCCTAATGCCTGTGGACATGAGGAGTCTCTTAATGTTTCAAATATTTATTTTTTTTTAATTCTAGTTAATAATACCTTGTGAAAATATGATGAAATAATTTGAATAAGATACGTTTTTATTAGGAAAAACAGTAACTAAAAGTATTATTAATGTATCATTTCTACATAGCCTGTTTTCCAGTTACTTAGAACTGATCTGCTTGTCTAGGGAGTCAGTTAAAACATGTATTTAGTGAGCAAATGCATCTTGAAGCTTTTTGCCATCACCTTCCCTACTGCACTTTCCGCTGAGTCACATTCATCATTCGTTTTGATTGTAACTTTATGGACTCTATTCCAGGGTAGACGCTGAGGCTTTAAACTGCTTTTTTCCCCTGCAGCCTGCCTTGTCCCTTTAACTAATGCTAGTTAATGTTGTCCTTTCCCCTTGTAAGGATCCTGATTTCTATGATGGTGTGGGTGGAATAGGAAATTCATACTGTGATATAAAACACACAAACTCATTAACTCAGAATTCTGAAACTAGATTTAAAATAGAAGAAAAATGAGTTTCTATAACCTTAATATTTAGATAGCTCGTATCACTTTTCATTATGTCAAGTGCTAATAAATTATTATTTCCCTTTTTTTCTTTTTCTTCTTTTTCTTCAGCTTGATCCAAGGATCATCCAACCCTTTCTGGCAGAATGTCGCCAAACTATCGCCAAACTAGATAATCAGAACATGAAGGCTATTAAAGGCCTTGAAGATAGGCTCTATGCATTGGACCAGATGATAGCAAGCTGCAGCAGACTTGTGAATGAACAAAAAGAACTTGCTCAGGTAATACACTTTTGTGTGTGCAGCGTTGGAAAATGGTATATTTTTGATATGTGTATGCTGTTAAAGGCTAAAACAAAACAATTGTATGTCTTAATGCAAGATAGATTTCAACGTGCCACATTGGAGATGCTCAAAAAGATGCTATATTCATAATAATTTGACATTTGCATATTGGTAGTCTTCTCATTTTATGGCGATGTAATACTTTTCAAGGGGGTTGTTGTTACATTAAGGTGCATTAAGGTTGTTAAAACTAATGAATGGTTTACAAATAGGTTGTGTTGTGTTACTGTAACACTGTGCATTACTTTAGAAAGCTGCTAATAAAAATAGGATCTGGTGAAGATGTCAAACAGCTATAAACTTTCCAGATATTTATTTTCAAACATTTGAAAATAGATATTTTTCATGAGTATTCTTAAGGAAAAGAAAACATCTGGCTTAAATATCTTAGTATCTGACTGACCACATCTTTTTCAAATCTGTCTAAATTCTGCCTGATTTCCAGCTACATTTAAGAGCGGACAAGTTTTTGCCAATGGCAGACCGTCAGAGACTGCCTGTAGTTTGCAGTTGCTCATATGTGAGAGACCAGGATCATAGAATCATAGAGTGCTTTGGATTGGAAAGGACATTAAAGGTCATCTAGTCCAACCTCCCTGCAGTGATGAGGGACATCTTTAACTAGACTAGATCAGATTACTTGTAGCCACATCAAGCCTGACCCTGAATGTCTCCAGGGATGGGGCTTTTGCTCCCTCTCTGAGCAAACCTGTTCTGGTGTTTCACCACACCTATTTCTTCTTTATATCCAGTCTAAATCTACCTTCTTTTTAGTTTAAAGCCATTACCACTTGTCCCGTTGCAACAGGCCTTGCTAAAAAGCTTGGCCCCATCAGTTCTCCTTGGAGCCTTCTTTTCTCCAGGGTGAACAACCCCAACACTCTCAGCCTTTCTTTACAGAATATGTGTTTGAGGCCTCTTATCATTTTTGTGACTCTGTTCTGGATGTGCTTCAACAGGTCTCTGTCTGTCTTTTGCTCAGGACTCCAGAGCTGAACACGGCACTGCAGGTGGGGTCTTGCAAGAGTAGAGCAGAGGGGCAGCATCACTTCCACTGACCTGCTGGCCACACTCCTTTCGATGCAGCCCAGGACCCGGTTGGCCTTCTGGGCTGCGAGGGCACATTGCTGGCTCATGTCCAGTTTTTACTACACCAGTATGCCCAAGTCCTTTTCTGTGAAGCTGCTCTTAATCATGTCATCCTTCAGCCTGTACTGATAGGGGAAATTGCCCTCAACCAGGTGCAGGACATTTTCCCTTGACCTTGTTGAACTTCTGCTAGTTCATCCAGACTCTCCTTAAAAGGAAGACAGAAACTGACAAAAACCTCAGTAGTGGAAGGAGAAAATGATGCATGCAATTGGCATTATGCTCAGGTGGCATATCCTGAACACTTCCTGTTGCACTAATTAATTCATTGGTTTGTTCTTAGAATGTTGTTGTCTGCTGACCTTTGACTAGATCCAAACATACAAGTGAAGATTGGTGAGGTGCTCCATTGTCCTTTTATTTATTCTCTTGGTAATGTTACTTAGCTCATGTGCCTTCCATGTGGTCAGCTTTTCTTCTTCAGAGGGGGCATGTTCTTCTATTTTCTGAAAAAAGGGGAATTATGACCCTTCTGCATTATGTATTTCAGGATTTAGAAAAACTGGGGACCTTCAGGTTTCTGTTGTGGGGGGATTTTCTGTTATCCTTATGGTCTAGAAATAGAAAAACAGCTAGAAAATCAGAACTTCAGTTGGAGATAATGTTAATTTTGAAGGGAAATACTGAGTGCTTGGTAACTTGTCACTCAACAATAGAGGCTCAGGGAAGACGTAACACACTTAATGGTTAATCACCAGGCTTGCAGTGAGGAGAGAGGTTAGTGTGCTTGTACTAGACAGTGTCATTTGGAGTGATAAGAAATTTGATTAAAGACTATTTTAAATGTAAAATATTTAGCTCCTTTTATTAAAAAAAAATAAATTACAGTGTCATACCAAAGGTTCTTTATTAAATACAGTTTCTCTGAAGAGATTCAGTTAACTTTATGCTTAAGATAGTCCTTTAATGCCTTGTTTGCACCTAAAAGTATATTAAAATCTCTGTGTGGTCATTATCTGATGTACAGATTTTCACCATTACATCAGAGCTCGTACCAAGAAGAAAGTCAGGAGTTTACAATTTCTGCTTGCACATTTGCATATTATTAATAGGAGGAAGTGAACAATGTTGCCTCCTTATCTTGGGGTGATTAGAGCCCCCTTCTGGGGCAGAGAGAAGAGGGGCTGCAGTTGCATAGGACTCAGACTTGCTGCTACGTCTTCTGGCTGGTAGGTAGAGGTGGATGCTACTAGTACTTCTGGCAGCATTGTTTGAAAGTGGAGCCTGTCTTCAGAGAATTTCAATGAGTAAGTTTAAAGAAGGTTTGTGCTAAAACTGTCTTACAATGTTGATGTTGTAGGCCAGTGCTAAATCCAGGGAAGTTTAGCATGATGGAAAAGCTACTCTTCATCCCTATGCTTTGTTGCCCAGTGCTGTGAGTGGTAATTTTAGTTGTGTTTTCCCTCTAGAAAAGCCTGGCTCAGGTTTACCAATCCCACTTCTGAGTGAGATGCATAAAAGGCAGGTGGAAAGATATTTTGTCACCTTGTTCAAGTGCTACTGTAAGTTTAGAATTTGTACCTTTTGAAGACTTGTCAGAGACTAGAACTTTCAAAACTCCATCTCTGCTGTTTTCTTTTGTAAATTATCTATTCCTTCACTTATGATATATAGGGAGTTTTAAGAACAATTAGAGAGAATGTGATGTTTGGGTTTTTTGAAGCTTCATTTAATTAAATGTTTGTGGTTAAAGATCTGTTGAAGTGTACTACCACTACTCCTTGAATTTTATATGAGAGCTATAGGAATTATTTTCATAGCAGTTTTAGCAGTTGTTTGGATACTGCTGGAAAACCTCAGATGCTTGTTAAGATAATTAGAGCTGGTATCACGTTACTCATTCAAATGATTGCCTATATAAAGTATGGTGAAGTGCAAGTGTTGTATATAAAAAGAAAAATACACGAGTCGTCATCTATAAATGTAGTACTCACAATTTGTGTGATAACTGTTAATATTTGGTATTATCTAAAAAAGCCTCCGACCTTTTTTATTTACATCATACCTTCCAGCAGTGAACTGTTTCTATTCATAAAGAAATAAAGTGGAGGTACTTTATACAACAAGGATAAGGAATATCTCAATGGTAATTCGTAGAATTCCACTGGCAGTATTTCTGTTGGAAGCTGTAGACTTGTTTTCCCCAGGTGAGAAAAAGCTGATATTCTATCTAGAATATGAGTTGGCTTTCTACCCCAATTTCATTATTAAAATTCAAACACAACTTATCCCACGTAGCGAAATACTCTGCTGCGAGAAGGCCTTATGGCTTAGTTAATTTTCTTGTTCCTGAACCTGGCTTATGAGGTTGTTTTTTCTTCATCAGACATTTTAATTAACTGGCCATTAAACAGTCTTTTATATGAAAAATGACATCCTGAGTTATGCAGTTGTATGGTTGATCTCCCTAATGTTTAATATGAAAAGCTGCTTTGTTAAATTAAAAAAACTATTTTTCTCTATGGAAGCTGGGATTTGTAACAGAAACGTATAGAATTGCAGTCAGTAGGTGGCATTACGCAATAAGAGTATGCCTCTAGAAAATTTGAAGCCTCTCTAATCTTTTAGTTTGATTCTGCCCATTAGCTTAACCTTTCCAACATTTTCATGTGTGGCTGTTACGTGTTTTAATTTCTCTATTAGTAGAGTCACTTTACAGAACATTTGGTTACATCCAAATGCATTTCCATGAATTAGATTTATAGAAATATTACTCTTCTAATTAGCTCTGTTATACTTAGTCAAAAAACTTGGTTGTCGGATGGGCTTATTCTCTTTCTGGATTTTTTCTCTTTGAAGCTGTTGGGAAATAGACTTCATCCTTCTCATACTCTTAATTGTATTTTCCTCCTGCTTCTGGTTACATCAAAGAATACCTCAGATTTATACATTTGTAGTGATACATGGTCTTCTCAGCTGCTTATTACATCACCAACTGCTTTCCCTGTCAATTGAACTTCAGTATAAAATATCTTTAAATATTCTTTACTGTTGATTCTTTGATTTGGAAATAGTTGTTGGGAAAAATCAATACAGGTATTACCATACCTAATTTTCTTTGCCTGTGATGCTCATGTCATGAATCCTGTCATCTGATCAGGACTAGAAAGGCAAGAACTTGTAAGAACAATTGATTTTTTAGATTTTGAATTTCTTCACAACTTTGGGGGTTCATCTCCCCCTCATCTTTTTTTTTTCCTTAGCTTTCTACAGTTTTGTACCTAGGTTTTTCTAATATGCCGAGAATTTTCTTTCTGATTTGCACACTAGAGTAATTTTGAATTTTGTTTTAAAGATAGGTCCACAGATGCAGAATTTGCAAAAGATTCTCAAATTTGTAAAAAGCCTTTTGGAACTGAGAAAAAAGCTGGAGGGGATTTTCTAGCTCACTGTATCCAGTTTTGCATAACTTTAGGCTTTATGCCATGTGATTTGTTTAAAAAGCTGCCTAAGCTGCTATTTAAAAGCAGATATTTTCTTGACTTCTCTGTTCCTGTTGCAAAGTTGTATACAATCTGATTGTCTTAATGTTTATAAACATCCATTAGTCTTGGACCTGAAAGTATTCTTGGCTAGCTCAAATCTTTATGTTCTCATGGCTATACAGCCTTTCATTTCAGTGCTTTGCAATTTTATCACAGCATATTTCTTCGGTCTTTGTCTTCCTCGACTAAAGAGACCAAGTTATTTTGATGGGACTTTCCTTCTTCATCTCAAGAACAGTTCTTCCCACCTTTCTCTGGTTTTCATTTCCTTGGCTCAGATAAGACGTACAGTTAAATTTGCAACCTACTTTTGTTTCCCAGAGGATCCTCACTCATTCAGTTACTCAGACTTCAGTAAATGGTTGACTCTTCATATTCTCTTCCATGTTCAGTATGCATCTTCATACATTTTTTTTTTATTACATGTAATATACTTAGATTTCTGTTCTCACTAGAATATAAATACTTATTGCAGATTTTCCAGATATGTTTTATAGCATTTTATGACAACATTGCTTTACATTGAATATCACAGAATCATAGCTAAAATTTGTGTTGTGGGATGGTATTTTCTTGCCTAAAGCAGCACGCTGTTTCTAGCAGTATTTTATCTCACCTGTTGAACATGATGGAGACAATCACTTGGCACAGTAATTATTCAGAATCACAGAAAGTTAGGAGTTGGAAGGGAACTAAAAAAATCATCTAGTCCAGCCTCCCTGCCAGAGCAGGATCACCTACAGTAGGTCACACAGGAACTTGTCCAGGCGGGTTTTGAAAGTCTCCAGAGAAAGAGACTCCACAACCTCCCTGGGCAGCCTGTCCCAGTCTCTGTCACCCTCACAGGGAAAAAGATTTTTCTAATATTTTTGCGGAGCCTCCTATGTTCCAGCTTGTACCCATTGCCCCTTGTCCTGTCGTTGGACATCACTGAAAAGAGCCTGGTTCTGTCCTCCTGACACACCCCCTTGACATATTTATAAATATCAATGAAGTCACCCCTCAGCCTCCTCTTCTCCAAGCTAAAGAGACCCAGCTCCTTCAGCCTTTCCTCGTAAGGGAGATGTTCCACTCCCTTCATCATCTCTGTGGCTCTGCGCTGGACTCTCTCAAGCAGTTCCCTGTCTCTCTTGAGCTGAGGGGCCCAGAACTGGACACGATATTCCAGATGTGGCCTCACCAGGGCAGAGTAGAGGGGCAGGAGGACCTCTCTCGACCTACTAGCCACACTTCTAATACACCATAGGCCTTCTTGGCCCTGAGGGCACATTGCTGTCGCATGATCGTTCTGCTGTCAAACTGTCAAATGCTTTACTGAAATCCAGATTAACCACGCCCACTGCACTGCCATCATCTGTCCACCTGGTTATGTCTTCATAAAAGGCTATCAGGTTGGTCAAACATGACTTTGGAAAAACCATGCTTACTGCTCCTAATGACCCTCCTACGTTTGATATGCCTGGACAGCACCAAGGATAAGTTGTTCCATCATCTTTCCAGGGATGGAGGTGAGGCTGACTGGTCTGTAGTTACCTAGGTCCTCCTCTTGTCCTTTGTGAACACTGCACTGACATTCGCTTTGCTCCAGTCTTCAGGCACCTCTCCTGTTGCCCACGATTTGCCAAAGATCAAAGAATGGCCTAAGTTGGAAGGGACCTTAGAGATCATTTTAATCCAGCCTCCCTGTCGCCAGAGACACCACCTCTCGACTAGATCAGGCAACACATGGCGACCGAACGGGAATAGAACCCGCGACCTTAGCGTTGTTAGCTCCACGCTCCACTGACTGAGCTAACCAGCCCCCAGGATGATGGAGAGTGGCCTAGCAATGGCTTCTGTCAGCTCCCTCAGCAGGGCTTGCCTGCTGATTGCCTGACTGATCCCTAACCCAGTCCTCATCAGCCAGGGCAAACTCCTTTACCCTGACTTCCTTCAAGTGTGAATATTTTTATGCAAAAAAGAAAAGAAGTGTTCTGTAGCCCGAAGTAGTACTGAATATGCTCTGAGTTGATGTTTAAATCTTGTATGTACCAGATGTTAACAAGCTGGTTGTTTGCAGAAATTGGAATAAGAGTTGATTCCCTCTATCCTAGTAACCACTTCCCTACTGTATTAACTTGCACGATCTTTCACCAGTGTTGGTAATTTGTGTAAAGTTCTTATAGGATTGTGTTGGTAACTGTTTAGGAAGGTGATACCAGGTAAGATTTATTTGGATTGACTTATAGCACGAAAAGAAACCAGCTTTGACACCTGGCTTCTCTATGTAGCATTCTGTCATACCCTCAATGGTTACAATAAGTTTATTGAAATGCTTGTGTTCTTACAAAGAGGATGGACTACTTCTTTGGTTTTTGCTTGTCACAAAACTTGGGTAACAAATGTGTCTCTTTTCCTCTAGGGATTTTTGGCTAATCAGAAGAGAGCTGAGAACTTGAAAGATCCTTCTGTGCTGCCTGACTTATGTTTGAGTCATGCAAATCAGCTGATGATTATGTTAACTAATCACAGAAAACTGTTAGATATTAAACAGAAATGTACCACTGCCAAACAGGAGCTTGCAAATAATCTACAAGTCAGGTTGAAGTAAGTTGGCAATTTTCAACTTTATATTGCTTCTACTTGCATGAAAACTGTTTAAAGAATTTCTTAAGCAAATCATTTTTAATACCTAATTTTTCTTATTGGGACAGAGAATAGAAGTTGGATCATTTCAGTTTGTATGTGAAGCTATTTCTTGGTGTGAAACAAAATACTATTTTAAGAAAAACTTTTTTTTAAATGGTCTTCATATCAATAAAATGGTATCCATGAACCTACAATCCCCTCTCCTTATCAACCTCAGAAGCCATCAGTATCTTATTTAAAATTTGACTGGCAATTATATTAATGTTTTTGAAGGGTTATAATAAGCATTAGCGAAACAAACTTCCACAGCACAAACATCAAAGCACAAAAGCATGCCCGTAGTTCAATTTACTTGTAGTTCATGAAAAATAATTATATTCAGTCACATCAGTAAAAATAACAATTTTGCAAGTAATCATCATTACTGTATAATGTGGAAGGCAGTAAATATTCTGTATTGCTGAATGGGAAATACAGTTTTTCACACTACTACACTTTAGATGTTTTGTCATGTCAGATACATAGGAAAGATATACAGAGTTTAATAATTCTTGGAAGAAAAAAATTTGTTTCTTCTAGCAGCTAATAGGTAATGTTGTGACACTGGTAGACTTACGTGCTGGATATCCTCAAAGCAAAATTTTTTTTTTCTTGAAGAGATTGTGTTTTGTATAGATAAGGCAGATGAAAAGTGCAGGAAGAAGTAAGCCAGAATCAGCAGTGCACTAGTGACAAAGGTACTGTTGTATTCATAAAATAAATTACTGGTAGATAAATTAAAATATGAATTTGACTCTTTTGCCTAGGCATCTGCTCTTACACCAATGAAAAAAAAGACTTTTTTGTACCGTTTTTTGCACTATAGCAGACTTCTAGGGATAGTATGTAGGACCTATGTGGCCATAAAGAGCACTTTCATTTCCTGTGTCATGGAAGTATTTGTGTAGTATACATTTAATTAATGAGTTACTAGAAGAAAAGACTTGGGTCCCTTTGTAAGGAATAAGCTAGTGAGTTGTGGAGTGACTGCGGAGTAGGTAAATGAGAAGAAAACATACATGTAAAATAAACAAAGTGAAAACCCACTCCCAATTTTAGTCCCTCAAAGCAGGGAAAATATAATAAAAACTGAAAAAAGCCAACACTGTATTTTGTGTCAAACCAAAGGTGGTTCTAGCTTGTCCAGTAGCAGTTAGCAGTGAATGAATGTAAATGGGAATCCAATACTGAGGAAAGAAACTTAATTATTTGTAAATATTCTGAGAAGAGCATTCTTATCTGATCTAGGGGTGGCTCTTCTGTTTTTAATTGCTGATAGAGGTATTTTTTTCCATGAATTAGTCCAACCTTTTTTTTTTTTTGAATTCACAAACTTTTTTTTGTGCTGCAAGTTCTGCCACTTCATTGTATGTTTTGTGGAAACTCTACTTCCCTTAGTGTTCTGAACTGGCTGCTTTTTGGCTTTGTGTAATCATAGAATGATTTGGGCTGAAAGGGACCTCAAAGATCATCTAGCTTCAACCTCCTTGCCATGGCAGGGACATTTCCCACTAGGTCAGATTGCTCAGTGCTCCATCCAGCCTGGCCTTGAACATTTCCAGGGATGGAGCATCCACAACATTCCTGAGCAACCTGTTCCAGTGCCTCACCACTCTCCGGGTAAAGAACTTCTTGATATCTAGTCTAAATCTGCACTCTTCCAGCTTCCACCCATTACCTCTTGTCCTATCACTACAGACACTTGTAAAAAGTCCCTCCCCAGCCTTACTGTAGGCCCTCTTCAGGTACTGGAAGTCCCCAGAGCCTTCTCTCTTCCAGGCTGAACAACCCCAACTCTCTCAGCCTATCCTAGTATGAGAGGTGTTCCAGCCCTCTGACCATCTTGGTAGCCCTCCTCTGGACTCACTCCAGCAGCTCCATGTCTTTCTTGTGTTTGGAGTTCCAGAGCTGGAATCGCTATTCCCTCACAAGGGCAGAGTAGAGGGGGAGAATTACCTCCTTCGACCTGCTGGTCACACATCTCTTGATGCATCCCAGGATATGGTTGGTTTTCTGGGCTGCAAGCGCACGCTGTTGTCTCATGCTGATCTTATCATCCTCCAACATGCCCAAATCCTTCTCCCCAGGACTGCTCTCAAACCACTCATTGCCCAGCCTGTATCTGTGCTTGGGATTGCCTTGACCTGGGTGCAGGACCTTACACTTGGCCTTGTTAAACTTCATGAGCCTGGCCTGGGCCCACCTCTCAAGCCTGTCAAGGTCCCTCTGGATGGCATCACTTCCCTCCAGCATTTTGACTGCACCACACAACTTTGTGTCATCGGCAAACTTGCTGAGGGTGTATTCGATGCCACTGTCCATGTTGCTGACAGAGACATTAAAGAGTACTGGTCCCAGTACTGATCCCTGAGGGACACCAGTTGTCCCTGGTCTCCACTTGGACACTGAGCCATTGATCACAGCTCTTTGAGTGTGATCTTTCAGCCAGTTCCTTATCCACCAAGTGGTCCATCCGTCAAATCTATGTCTTTCCAACTTGGAGACTAGGATGTCGTGCAGGACCGTGTTGAAGGCCTTGCTCGAGTCCAGGTAGATGACATCAGTTGCTCTTCCCTTGTCAGTTGATTCTGTTACTCCGTCATAAAATGCCACAAGATTTGTCAGGCAGGATTTTCCCTTGGTGAAGCCATGTTGGTTGCCAACAATCACCACATTTTCCACGCGGCACAGCAGAGCCCTCAGAACGATCTGCTCCATGATCTGGCCAGGCACAGAAGTGAGACTGACTGGCTTCTAGTTGCCTGGGTCTTACCCTTTTCCAGTCAGTGTGTACTTCACCAGACTGCCGTGAGCTCTCAAGCATGATGGAAAGCAGCCTAGCAACTTCCTCTGCCAGTTCCCTCAGGACTCCTGGATGGATCTCATCAGGTCCTGTGGACTTATGCACCTTCAGGTTCTTTAAATGGTCTCAAACCCGATCTTCACTTACAGTGGGCAGATTTTCCTTCTCCCATCCCCTGCCTTTGGCTTCTACAACTTGGACAGTGCGGCTAAAGCCCCTGTGGATGAAGACTGAGGCAAAGAAGCCCTTGAGAATCTCCACCTTCTCCGTATCCTTCATGACTGGCTCTCCTGTTCCCTTCCGTAGAAGGGCCGCATCTTCCCTAGCCTTTCTTTTATCGTTAATATACCTATAAAAGTTTCTCTTGTTACCCCTGATGTCCCTGGCTAGATTTAATTCTATCTAGGCTTTAGCTGCTCTGACCACTTCCTCGTATTCTTCCCAGTCTGTCCTTTCTTCCACTTTCTGTAAATTATTTTTTAATTTTTAAGTGTGTCCAGGAGCTTCTTGTTCATCCATGCAAGCCTCCTGACATTCTTGCCTGTCTTCCTCTTTTTTGGAATGTATTGCTCCTGGGCAATCCTGTGTGGTCCTTGAATATGGACCAGCTTTCTTCGGCCCCCCTCCTCTTCAGGGCTTCATCCCATGGTACTCCACTAAGGAGATGCCTAAAGAGGTCAAAGTCTGCTCTCTTGATGTCCAGGGTGACGAACTTGCTACATGCTCTCATTGTTGCTCTGAGGATCTTGTATTCTAGCATTTCGTGGTTGCTGCAGCCAAGACTTCCCTTAAGTTTCACACTATCCACCAGCCCCTCATTGTGTGTGAAATCAGGGTCCAGTACGGCACCCCTTCTCATTGGTTCCTCAACCACCTGGAGAAGAAAATTGTCATCAGTGCATTCCACGAATCTCTTGGTTGCTGCCACCCTGCTGTGCCGTCCTTCCAAGAGATATCTGGGTGGGTGAAGTCCCCCATGAGGACCAGGGCTTGTGAACGCGAAGCTGCTCCTATCTGTCTATAGAGGACCTCGTCTGCTTGGTCATCTTTGTCAGGTGGCCTGTAGCAGACCCCGACTATGATATCATCTTCCCCTGCTTTTCCTCTAACCCTGACCCATAAGCTCTCAGCCAGCTCCTCAACCATCCCCAGGCCAAGCTCCATGGATTCCAGCTGTTCATTGACATAGAGTGTGACATCCCCTCCTCTTCTCCCCTGCCTATCTTTCCTAAAGAAAGATGCCCTCTAGTTCTTGCTACTCAAGCTATGAGGAAGTTAACAGTGCATGTCTTGTAGTTTCTGTTAGAATATGTTCCTAGTTGCTTATGTTGACTGGTTTGTGTTTGTTGTTTTACTTCACTTCTGTCAAGAAAAAAAAGTTTTATCTTTTTTATTTCTTGTGGGATATACCTCCATTTTATGCCACCTCTAGTGGCAAAGTTGCTGTAATGTTTCCCCTCAAGCATACCAGCTGATCACCTTTTCAGCAGTTATCCTGCTTGAAATTAATGTATTGATTATATCCATAAGATAATTGAAGATGTGATTACAAGGTGTGAGAATTCTTATGTTACAGGGACTGTTATTTGTAGTGCATGAGTAGATGGTGTGAACTTCCCAATCAGTGTTTGATCTTTTTTCTTTGACAGTATTCCCACCCTTAATATTTCAATAACTATTTTTAAGATTTATAAACAAAAAGTAGTATCTTCTTGGCTCTGCAAGTACCAGCTATTTTGAATTCATTATCTTACCTCCTAAGGTTATGTCTGCTAAGAGCATTACTTGTGAAAAACGATACCTTAACTTAGATGGTGGCAAATGCTCATTTTTTGAGCACTGATGTGGATATCTTACTGTGAGAAATTAACATGTAATTGAAAGGCAAGTACTGAATTCTGAATTGCTTAGTGCTTCCAGGTAGCCTGTTGTTGTCTCCTGTAAGATTATGCCGTTGTTCAGTGCATCTAGATACGTTGCTAATGTTAGTGAAATTTAAATGCAGAAAAGATGACTAAGTTGTTATCTTCTAAAGTGTAACCTACTTTTGTAGGTGGTGTTGTTTTGTAATGCTTCATGCTGACCAAGATGGAGAGAAGCTACAAGCATTGCTTCGTCTCGTAACAGAGCTCCTAGAAAGGGTCAAGGTTGTAGAGGCTCTCAGTACTGTTCCTCAAATGTACTGTCTAGCTGTTGTTGAGGTTGTGAGGAGAAAAATGTTCATAAAACACTACAGAGAGGTGAGTAAAACTTTGAGACCCAACCTTTGTGTCAGTTTATAAATTAACAACTAATTACATATTTACCTTTCCACAGTGGGCGGGTGCTTTGATAAAAGATGGGAAACACCTATATGAAGCTGAAAAGGCAAAAAGGGAATCTTTTGGTAAACTGTTCAGTAAGTACTTCCTCTTCTGTGAAATCAGAATTGTGATTAAGAATTACTTCTGTCTTTATAGTTAAAATACTGGCATTATGTGGTAGTTTACCTGTCTAATTTCTTCTTTCTTTTTTTTTTTTAACCATAAATAGTAAATTCATGCAGTGTGCTGGACAGTCCTGTTATGATCAAAATACTTTTCTGGTTTTCTATTAATCAAATTAATGAACTGTTTCATATAGTTTATCCAAAATTTGGAAAGTTCTAAATAGTATAATGCTTTTAAAATGTAAGATTTCTAATTATTACATTTGAATGTGGTTTCTATTTGAAGATGCTCTGTAAGCATTACTGTTCTTTTAAATAACACTTCTAAAATCATTGCTGAGTATTTGGGTATTGCTGTGACTTCCTCTGTACTGCTTCAGCAAAAACAAGAATGAAGCCCTACATATAAAGACCTTGACCAGAAGTTTAAAAAAAAAGTAAAATAGACATGAAGTGTCCGGTAGAAGAAATCTTGATTTTTTTTTTTTTTTTTTTTTTCTGCAAAGTCTGCAACTTATGTTATGAATGAACTGCTAAAATAAGAAAATTGAGCAAAAGGTTATAAAAATTTTTGGAAGTTGATTAGCAAGATCACAATAAAAATTTGAAAAAGGAGTTGAGGCTTTTGCAAAGGTGAACGTTAAGCAGAAAGAGGCTTCAATGAAGTGAGAAGTTCTACTTGGATAGCGGGTTTTGCATGAACTACTGTGGTCACTTTCAATTTTTCTTTTGTCATGAAATGACAGTTAATGCTTTCAAATTTAGTTCAGCTGTTAAACTGCAGTAGCTAAAGTGTTTTCTTTTGAGGCACTCTTTGTATATTGCTTTTCTTACTTTTAAGTAACGATTTTTTCTTTGCCCAGGGAAGTCTTTTCTAAGGAATCGTTTGTTTAGAGGACTTGACTCCTGGCCTCCATCCTTTTGTGTATGTACTCAATGTTTTTCTTTGGTTTATTTCGGTTTTAGAAACAGTGCTTTCATAAATTAGAAACCAAAGTTTAATTCATTCAAGCTATGTGCTTATCACATTGCTCTGACATGTATGAAAAAGCTGGGAGCTAATGTTCTTTGCTATCTCAAGTGACCTATATTAACAATGGTTCATAACTTGCAGTGTGGTAGGAGAGGAAGTGTCAACTTGGTATTCCTTTTTATCAAGGAGTTTGTGGTATTGAACAAAAAATTGTTTTGACCAGAAAAAAAGAAGCCAGGAGGGATAATTTCGTCATCTAATCCTCTCTTCTGAATAATACAGCCGTAAAATTAATTGGATGGTAAAAATTTTCATCTATTTCTGTAATCACTGGATGGGTGGAAGTGCATTTTCATTTATTTATTGGATGATAACATGAAGGAGTGAAAAAGTGCAGCCGTAATCAAGCATTGCCTGTTAGCTTTGATTTCATACAGCTTGTTTAATTCAAGATAACCTCTCCCAGATTCTAATGTTGCTAGCTCACTTGGCCTTGTTTATCCTTTTCAGTTTCTCATTTTCACTTTTTTTTTTTTTTTAAAGGACACTTGGAAAATAAGAATACTTGTTTCAGCATTTGAACACTGAAGTGAATTAATGCTTGACTGCATGTTTAGCAGCACAATAAATAAAGCTTCTGTCTCATACCTTAAGTTTTTTAACACATTGTTAAAGTTTGTGAAGTGAAGCTTGGTCATAGAGAGGAAGTTGGACTACATGATTATTGTAGGTCCTTTCCAACTGAAAAATAATCTATTCTACTACTTCCCAAGGCAATATGGATAGTGTTAGTGACTGTAAATGTAAATCACTTTTTTAGGGAGATGAGTTCAGACATGATTACTTTAAAAAAAGTATGAAATCTTTTGAGAGATCAGTTCACTAGCTTTTCTGTTAAGCTCTTTAATTCTTCCATAGTTATCTTGATATTATTTAATTCAATGTGTGAATAATTTTCTTCTTAATACAGACACGAAAACCTCGCAGATTTGACAGTGAGCTTCCAGATATCTCGTTAAATGACTTGCAGTTTTTGCAGTCGTTTTGTCCTTCAGAAGTACAGCCGTTACTCAGGTAAAGCACCTTTTTAAACTTTGTATGTTGTGGAAATAACTTCCCCCTCATCCCATCCCCTTCAACTGCTCCTCAGTCCACTTTATGTAAGGAACAGATGAAGAAATTTTTTGAACTGCTATAATTCTTAAGTAATGGTCTTCACTGACTTAATGCAGATATGTAGTATATATGTGCTCTGTGATTTGGCGATGTGTAGTCTGTATTGACATATAAAGGATATTGGATGTTACTCTGAGCTGCCTCACAGCTAGAGAAAAAAAAAATCAAAAATTGTTGTCAGTTTTAAACTGAAATAAACTCATAACTTTGTTCTGTCAGATCAGAATAAGATTTTTTTTTTTTATTTTACATATTTTCATTTGCTCTTTGTTAAGTGGTATTTGGTAAGAAGTAAAATAAATTTCTTTAGCCCAGCATGAGATCATAGAGATCTCCTTTATTCAGTTATAGCTTTTTCTCCGACAGGCTGATTTTACTAAAGAGCATATTCTCTAAGTGCCCCTGCTGTCTAGGTGAATCCATCGTTCTGAGCAGAAGCTTTATTTCCGTGTCCTGTCTCCCAACAGTGAGGCAGACATGCAAATGGGGATAGAAAAGCTACTCTTTTTGTCTCACAGGCAACTTTACGGAATTAGTTTCCTTTCCATAAAGACACCTCCAAGTTCTAGATAAGTTGACTATTAGAGTGAGCTTTCAAACTCATGGCTTTAACCTGTAGCAATCAGACAGAGAAATGCCCACCAAGATAATGGGAAGAAATTGACAGTAGCAAGTTCTAGGTAAGATTTTGTCTAGAAGGAGATCTGTCCATCAGTATGACCACAATCAGATACTCCATGTATCTATCATCCTTCTCCTCAAAGATCTCTGAATTTAGAGATTTGCTGAAATTCCATTTGTTTTAGTCTCAATCCTACAAAGAATGGTAAGGTCAATCCAAAAGGAGGACGCTCCGCTGTCATCTGTCACTTCACCAACAGTATCGGCCTGATACGTGTTACTGGTGCATAGTGCAGGAGCTATAGTCATTGTGGTATTCACCTGTGTTTTGCACTGGCTTTCTTTTTTATTCAGGGTTCTTAGCCACCCTTACAGTACTTCTGCTGGAATTAACTAGTGAGCTTACTCTGCTTGATAGTGGATTTACCCTAGATGGTACAGCCGTGACACACCCTTTTAATTTCTCTTAATTACGCTTTTAGGCTTGCACGTCAGTGATCCTGCAGGAAAAAAAGGGCAAAATATAGTATCTCACTGCTGATGTTTGCCTGATTTTGGAGGCTGTGAAAATTTTGCAACATTCCTGGGAAGTTTGGACTGAGTTCAGAAAGAGTTTTGACTTGCTGTTGTCAAAAAAACCTGATTGCTAGGTGAATTGTTTTGGTTGGTCTGAACTGCAGTGACATAGCTTTCCAGTTGATGGCAACAGAGGTGGAAATGTCATGTTCCTCATAGTTTCTGGGTTTAGGATTACATTTAGTAGAAATAATTGATGATAGTAGTGGACTTGCAACTCGAGTGGGCAGAACTGTCACACATCTCGGTAGACACTAAGATTCAGAAGAACTTTAGAGCAGTACTTTCTTTGATAGTTACATTTAACATCTAAAGAGCAGGCAATAGGCAAACTGAGACCCAGCACAAGGTCCTTTGCTATCAGGACCCCTGAGCTACATAATTAAAATTGTGCTTCTGTTCGCTCACAGTGGTTGAGTCTTCTGAAAGTATATGTTTGAGCAATTGTTGAAATCTTAATTCTGAAAAAATACATTAGATGCCACTCGCCCTGTATGTTGAATAGAGAATGCAAATTATGTTGACGTATAATCTGTTTATATTGTTAGCCTCAATGAGCTCCTGCTTCACGATTCCTGAGCGTATTAAAAATTCTGGATATATGGACTCTGAATTAAAAATATATAAATGTTACTTTTCCAGAGGTTTAGAAAACTTGCAATTGAAAGCTTATCTCGCAACACTTGCAATGTGACCATGACAAATCAGTCTTTTAATTTAGCTTACCTATCATTAAAATGAAATAATAGAGAATTAATAGTACTTCAGAAGAGCTTGATTGGAGAGAATCCAAATGGAGAGAATAGAGTCATTTGCAAATATAACTGCTTCAATTACAGATCTAATCGCTCTCAGTTCTCTTCTGTGACTGTAACTCTAAGTACTACTGGTACATGTTTTCCTCAGGAGGAAAGAATGACACACTACTTCCCCATCATTGTGTTTGTCATTATCTATTTCTTAAAAGCTCCCTATTACTTATTTTAAAACACAAATGACAAGCTTTTTTAGTGGATTTTCCATGTAAAGTAGATGAAATGAAGAAAGAATAAACCTTACACAGAGGGAAGCTTAGTCTTGTGGAATATATATGTAATAACTTTATGTATATGAATATTAGATTAAGAATACGGTTTAAAAAAAAATTAATCCTGTGCTATTTTTAAGGGTTCCCATACTTTGTGACTTTGAACCTCTTCACCAGCATGTACGTGCTCTACATAACCTGGTAAAGGCAGCACAGAGTTTGGATGAAATGTCACAAACCATTACAGACCTGCTGAATGAACAAAAGGTATTTCTATTTTTCTTCACTAAGAGAATATTCTATTCAAAAGAGTATAATATTTTCATAATAGCATTTTATCAACAACTTCAGAACGAAACTTCATTTTTCCAGATACTGAGATTAGTCAGTCTCAGAACTACATAATAATAGTTTCCTTTCTAATCATGTACTAGTAAATACTCTTGAGAATTTTGAACTCTTCAGTGAGTACAGTGAGTCTACCTAGAGAATAGTTAAAAGCTCTTCGATATCTTTAAAATGTTTAACAGATGCCTGTATTCCACTAAGAAAAGTATAATTTTTCTGTTAATATTTCTACTTTCTGCTATTTTCTAAAGCTTCTGTGTGTGAAGTGTGGACATTTTGACTTTGTCACTTCAGTTTTATATTTAATGAAGTTGTTACTTCTCTGCCTTTTCCCAGTGGTTCAAGTCCTTTTGGCACAAGCAGTGGCTTAGTTGATTGTCCCTGTTAGCTTGAATATTGATGTGTCACCTGCTCCGAGCTGGAGCGAGTGCAGAGGAGGGCAACAAAGCTGGTGAAGGGCCTGGAGAATAAAACTTACGAAGAACAATTGAATGAACTGCAGCTGTTTAGTTTGAAGGAGGCTGAGGTGACATTGTAGAGAGGTTGGTGCTGGTCTCTTCTCACAGGTAATTAGCGATAGAATGAGAGGGAATGGCTTCAAACTTCAACAGGGTAGATTTAGACTGGACATCAGGAAAAATTTTTTCACAAGAAAGAGTAGTCAGACATTGAAATGGGCTGCCCAGGGAGGTGCTTGAGTCACCATCCCTGGATGTGTTTAAAGGTTGTTTAGATGTGGTGTTGGGGATATGGTGCAGGGGTGAGCTTTGCAGAGTAGCATTAATGGTTGGATGATCCCAAGGGTCTTTTCGAACGTGAATGATTCTATGATTCTTTTGTTGCAGTCCTGCTTTTTGGAGAAGGGAAGAAATCTGTGCCATCTTTTTCTTTCAGTTTAGAAAGAATGATGGTGAAAATATATCTTCCTAGTTTTACTCTGCCTGTCAAGCAAATTCCTTCCCTTAGAAACTCTGTTTCTGCCAGTCACTTTTGATTGTTTCTATGCAGTCAGCCTTTAACTTTCATAATAAACCAGAAGGGGTCCTTTTAGCTTATGATTGTAGCTTGTCTCGGTGAAAGTCTGGGTGAGTTTAGCAATGCTTAAAAATTTATCTGAAGTTGACTGCTTCAAATTGGGTTTCTTTACCACTTTTGCTATAGAAAAAGGTGTCCTGAAATTTTTTTAGTGAAAAAAACAGGATAGTGACAAGTGTTGTAACTAGTTTCTTGATAAGGCTTGCAGCATCAGGAGAGTGTGAAATAAATCAAAGAAGTAAGTTTTAATAAAAATTATACATAATAACAGTAGAAAAATAAACAAGAAAGATGTCCTGTTCAAGTCTTGATGATTTGCCCTTTTTGGTTCAGACTTGCTTATCTGAGATATTTTTATTGGTGTCTGACTGGACAAAAAAGATGCTTGCCAAATCAGTAGAAGCTATTCTTCCCACTCCTCTCTTTTGCTCTGCTTTGACCGGTCTGTATTCTTGGCTGACTCAGAAATGTCAAATGCTTAGACAGATTTGGATAATTGTCTCCTTCCTTAGAGTAAATTGCATTGCACAGTCAGAGCTGGGCTGTTCGTGATGTCCTCTTGAAAATGCCCATCTCTGTTTGTAATTTCAGTGATTCATTTGAACTCTTTTTTGGAATTGAAGCAAATAGATCTTTCAGAAGTTTTTCCTTCCCAGCAAGTTATTACTTGGTGAAGGATATTAAGCCTTTTTCTGTGTTGCTTTGTTCTGCAGATGATCAGGAGTGTTTTCTAAATTATACTACTTTTTGCCCATTTTCTTTTTCTGCGTAGAATTACTGAGATAACTTGAAAATGTTATTTTCTTATCCTTAGTATTGCTGGGAATTTACAGTATATAGTTAGAACAATGAGTAAACATTTAATAGTAGTCCTGAAGATGCCTGCAGCTTCATGCACCTATATGCTCTGTTGGTGAACTCTGAGATATTGCTTCAGCTTGGTGTGGAGTTGGCGTTTACTGTGCAGGTGTTGAGTGTTGCCCATGTAGCAGAACATTGCTCTTGTACTCTCTCAAGTAGACACATTCGACCTTAACCCCCAATTCCATACAGGGCAGCAGAAGCCTAGTTCTATAAGTTGGACTAGGGTAATTTCCCTGGCTTGTTGGTAGTAGAGCATTTAGCTCTGTCAGGTTCAGGTGTGAGGTCATCCTGTGTCAGCTGCAGCAGCTGGTCTCTTGACAGTTTCTGTAGGCAGGAGAGAGAAGCTGTGGCTGCAGACAAGTGAGCAAAGAGCAAGTCAGAGAGGAGATTGAGTACCTTGCTGGGGATGTTAACAGCATTTCTTTTTAAGTGTCCCTGCAACTACTATTTCAACTTTAAAGTTCATGATATGCTTCTCTATCTGACACCAGATTTCTTTTCTTCGTATTGTGTCAGACCAGTTAACATTGTTGAAGATTTTTGTTTAATTCATTATTACTTTGAAATTTATTTACCTTTTTGAAACTTTCTGCTTATTCTTTGTAATTTAATGTTCTCACACCAAAGATACTGCTGTGCCCTCTCATTTCCATAACACAGCCAGAGTTTAAGCAGATCAATGATTGGGTTAAAGATGTCCAGGAGAAAGTTAAGGTGCCTATAGGAGTCAGGTAAGATGATTAAGGTGTCTTCTGCACAGTTATCCAATCGCTTGGTATTAAAAGTTTCTCTGGTAAGAGAAGTTGGCTTTTCAAATCAGATTATGAATCTACCACTTGTTCTAGTTGAATTCAAAATTCAAACACTGTAATGATTCCAAGAATTGCCCTATTCCCCAACTGTGTTTATCATGGTAAAGTAACTAGAACAAGGCATATAATCCAGCTGAGACCTCTATAAATTAATTCTGGTTCTCTGTCTCTGCTTTCTGTGTTTTCTGGTTTGCTCGCGATTCCTTTTTCTTTGTCATCACAGGAATTACAGTGTATGACATGTGCATACATTGCTGCCTGGAGATAGTAAAGACCAGATGTCAGGCACCAGCTTTTCAGGAAAATGGACAGCACTAAACAAAATTTCCTATCTAGTTTCAGTTACTCAGACTGTGAGGTTTAATTCGTCACTACACAGTCTTCTGATATGCTAACTAGAGACCCGACTCCCAGCGGCCACTGCAGAGGTTTCGAATTTGTTACAGCCCCAGGTCATGAGGAAACCAAGCTCAGTAGAGTGTTGCTCCACACAGTGACAATTTTTTTGTTTAGTTCTCCATACATCCTTGCTCTTTACCTTTTAGGATGATTCTGCAGCATTGCCAAAAGTAGATACCGTCTTTCCTTTGCATGTGGCTTTCTGGTGGCCTTCTAACATTCAGTGTCTTCGAAGTGCTTTTTTTACTGTGTGCTTACTGACATCTGTAATGCTAACTTTTATTACTGTTAAAGCTCTGGCTTATCAATGTTAAATGTTTGTCACGTAAAGTATATGCTTTGAATCCAGGCATATATCAGCAATAGAGTACTTTTCAACATTTTTTTTTTCCTAAGTTTTGTTAGATAAACAGCAAGCCGAAACTAAACCCAAGGGAAATGCTTAAACATGGACTAACAGTACCTTTGTCAAAAGAAGCCTTTCCCCTTAAGTTTATTTGTTTTGTTTTCTTTGTCTCAGGTCGTGGGTTCATTTTAGATACATACTTTGTTTATAATGAATAATGAGTTTTCATCACTCAGTTTCAAAATCATTGTACCATTTACTTTCATAGAAGTGAATGTCAGAGCTGGGAAGGGATTCTTCCTAAATCTCAGTTCAGAATTCAATTAGTCACTAATCTCCATTAAAACAATAGGATCATACAGAGAAGAACAGGGTCCTTTTTGGGTAGCAGCCATTTGTAAAATATTGGGAAAACAAAAATCGGCTGTTTATACATTAGCAGTCTGATATCTGTCACACTTATATCTGGTGTTTTTGGAGTTCTCTTTCTGACTATTTGTTGCCCAGCTCCACTAACTGTTGCCAGTCAAGTAGTTGAGCTCATGAATAACAAAAAATTATTGGTAAAATCTAGCGTACTGAAGAACACCAGACAAAAGATTTAAATGTGTAGAGACAGTGTTGGATGATTTGGAAAAGCAGAAAGTGTTGGTTCCTTGAAGAGCACCGTTCTGAAAGATCCCTAGCACTTTGAGACTGAACCTCTTAGGGGAATCTTTTACTGCAAGTATCTCCATGAGTCTTGAGGAATGGGAGTTTTTTTAGGGTAGTCGCATTCATCAGAGGAATAAGATTTAAAAAAGTCCTCCAAGGATGAAGGACAGAAAAGCCACATAATGTTCGGCCTATAGTGTTACAGACAGCACATCCAAGATCATTTGGAACACTAATACATTCAAATAATTAAAAGTTACTTCCAGATTGTGATCCAGATGATCCTGTTCATACCTGTTATGTCACAGATAAACACAGTTAAAATACATTAGGAAAGTATTTCACTCTAATTTTCTTTGGAAAAATTACTTTGCTGCCCATCCAATTAACTTCTTCAAGAATGCATCTTGGGTGGATGCTGGGACTGTACGTTGCTTTGTGGCTTCCACTGAGATGTTTTCTGCACTTGCTGAAGCTTAAGGTTTATATTTTTGCTCTGAGAATCTGCAGATGATGATATAGTTGGCATTAGGGCTTCTATATTTCCTGTCATATTTAATAGTTAATAGTTGACCATTTTTTCCTAGTTCTGGTAGACATGAAGATAGTAGTGGCAGAGGACTTTAATACATGCTTTGCCTATTCTGTCAAGTAAAGCATGCAAGGGAAAAATTACGTTAAATCATTTACTAAAAATTACAATTACACATCACAGGCTGTTTGCAAGGTCTCTAAGGTCTTGCTGAGGTTGGAGATTCATTTTAAGGCATTTCTATATGGTGCTTTACTGAATTTCAGGTGCATAGAAATAAGTGCATGTAGCTTGGCCTACAGTTAGAATTATTGTAGGCATGATGAATCAGACTTCTGCTGAATTCACTTAAAGTGTGTATTCCATGACAGTATAGAAAACTATGACGTCTTTGAAATAGCAAACGTTGATTTTCAAAGACTGTGCTTGAATTTACTGCAATGTATGCACTAGAACTTGAGATTTTACTTTATATATTGCAATAAACCAAAACTGATGAGAATGAGATTTAGACGTTATCTAATCACAATTGGAAAATTGGTTTGAAGTAAGTTTTTTGTATTATTCAAACTTATGTTTCAGCCCTTTGAAATACAGTTGCGCATTGGACTTCTGAATAGGTGAACATTTAATATTTACGTATTTACAAATGGTGCAATTTTGAAACTTACTGGAAAGTCTCTCTGAATTTCTGCAATTTTTACCTGAATTTTAGTCATACACGTTTTGGACTGTTACAGATAATAAGGCTGATTTTCCAAGTTCTTGTTTTTGTCTGGTAATTTTTAATCAATTTAAAATATTAACATTTCTGTCTATCCACTTCATTAAGTGTCTGTTTTATATATTATGACTTGTAGGCCTCCAATAGTCAAGCATCACCACAATCTGCTACCACGCCAAGGATGGAAAGTACAACAGGAACCACAATTGCTACCTCTTCAAGAACTCCTCCATCACTCAGTCTTCAGGGTCCCCTGTGTCCTCCTGTGTGTCCCCCAGCTCCATTAGAAGAATTGTCTCCAGACAGCATCGATGCTCATACATTTGATTTTGAGACTATTGCCCATCCGAACCTGGAGCAAGCTCTTAAGCAAGGATCATTAGACTTGGATTCATTAGCAGAAAGTCCAGAATCTGACTTCATGTCAGCAGTAAATGAATTTGTAATAGAAGAAAATCCAGTATCTCCTAATGTAATAAGTGATCCACAAAGTCCAGAAATGATGGTGGAATCTCTTTATTCTTCAGTTATCAATGCAATAGACAGTAGACGTATGCAAGATACAAATACTTGTGTAAAGGACATTTCAGTAGAAAATGCACCTCTCAATGTTTGCATGGAGAAGTGTAGGGTTATTGCCCAAGACTCCAAGGTACATTTAAGAGGTATAAAAGAAGATCTTTGCCACTTTAGAACACTTGTACAAAGAGAACAGTGTGACTTTTCTAATTCTTTAAAATGCACTTCATTAGAAATAGTAAATACTATTGAGAAGGTAAAACTTTCACTTGAAAAAACACTAAAAGATAAACATCAAAATGAATTAGAGTCTTTGAAAAGTGAATATGAAACTAAAATTAATAAATTATTGGAGGATAGTGAAGAAAATAAAAAGAAGATAAAAAAGTTAAAAGGTGACCTATTAGGCCTTGAGGAAGTTCTTCAGAATAAGAATGATGAATTTGCGATGGTGAAAAATGAGAAAGAAGCTGTAGTTTGCCTTCAGAATGAGAAAGACCAGAAATTACTTGAATTGGAATGCCAAATGGAGACACAAAATTCTGAAATTAAGGAACTGAGACAGTCACGTGAGGTAGTACTTGAAGACTTGAAAAAACTTCATGTTGAAAATAACGAAAAACTGCAACTCCTGAGAGCAGAACTTGAGAGTTTAGAGCAAAGCCATTTAAAAGAACTGGAAAATAAACTACAAGCCAGGCATTTACAGGAAATTGAGAAGGCACTAACTGAGCACAAGGACTGTTTAGAGAAGTTAAAAAAAGAAAACGAGCATAGACTTGAACAAATGCAGGAATCTCATTCGGTAGTTGTGCAAGAGAAACAACAACAAGTAGAAGAGTTACAACTCAAAGTTTCAGATTTGTCGGATTTGAGGTGCAAATTAGAAGTTGAACTTGCCCTGAAAGAGGCAGAAACTGATGAAATGAAGCTTCTTTTGGAAGAAAGCAGAAACCAGCAGCAAGAGACCTTGAAATCTCATATTGATAAAGAAACTGAAAGCTTAAAAAAGGAGATAGATGAATTAAACAATAAAATACAAATTAACAGTGAGGAATATCAAGTGGGCTTATCAGAATTAAGGACTCTGATGACAATTGAGAAAGATCAGTGTATTTCTGAGCTAGTAGACAGATACGAAGAAGAATCAAATTTGCTTAGAACTGAACTAAATAAAGTAACACTTCTTCATCAAAAAACTTCTGAGGCAGAAAAAAGACTTTCAGAGCAAGTAACAGAACTACAAAGTAAGTTAGAGTTGGAAACGAATGCCCTAGAAAAGGAAAAAACAGAAAAACAGTCTCTTTGTGAGCAGCAGGAGAAGTATCAAGCTATTATCCATAAGCTTAAGGAAGAGAAAGAACTGTTAGTATCTAACCAAGAAAAAGACAGGCAGTTGCTCATTCAGAAGCTCAATTGTGAAAAAGAGGATGCAGTGCAAACTGCTTGTAAAGAGTTTGAATTACAGAGGGAAGCTGCTGAAAAAGGGCTTTTGGAAAAAATACAACAACTTGAGATGCAAGTAAATCAGAGGTACTGTAAGAATTAAGTTACTGTGTTTTCCTAGTGTTTTAAATTAATTAATCTGATATAGTCATGATGCACTATGCAGTAAGTAAAATTTCTATGTATTTTTAATATTTTTTTATCTGCTTTGTTTTCTATATTCAAGTTTCAGGTTACTTCTGATTTATACATAGTGGTATTCCTGTGTTTGTACTTAATCTCAAAGATTGTAAAATATTTGATTCTATATATGGTTCTATGATTTTATACATTATTATTTCCAGACAGCAATGAAGGTTTTATATTTCAGTCTTGTAATGTTACATTGAAGGAGTGCTTTCACAATAGCATGTTGGTTGGAATTCTGATTTTGATGGTCTTGGCCTCTCCTTTCCTATCCTTTTCTCTGTTATTAGCACTATGTGAGCATGCACTGGCTAGCTTTTAGGCTGATAACTTTCTTTGATTAGCTAACTGTGCGCTCTTGTTGACGTGAAAAGGTGTGTCAGGATATCTATATACACACACATATAAAAATATTGACTGGGAGTTGTCTTGTGGTCACCTGCACTTCCATTTAGCTTGAGCTGCCATGGTTATGTGTTTCCAGGTCTTCAGTTTGAGCTTTATAATGAAACACACATGGGCAACATAATTTTAAAGAACATCTTAACATAGTTGTTAATTCATTGTTAATTTCTGCAGTGGTTTTCTATTTTAAAAAGAAAGTTGTATTTTGCCTTGCCATAAATGCCTAGAATTAGCCTGAATACTCTTATTGGCTTACTGGTTTATAATGCTAATCAGCAGAGTGGATTATGGTGTTATGGAGTGGAAATAAGTATTTTCTGTGTGACAGTTGGTTAGAAACAATATTTTATTTTGCAGTGGTAGAATTTGTCACTTATGTTCTTGTAGTGTGACGGAACACAGCAGATGGATCTTGCTTGTACAGCACCTAAAGAGCATTTTTTTCTAGGTATTATGATATATGAAATACATGAAATAGGAAAAGACCAATAAAATGGACAAAATGGGTGTAAAAGCCCAAGAACTACCTCAGAACATGATTATACATTGAAGCTAGCATTTAACTTTTGAATATCAATATAATGTTAAAAAGAAAGGAGGGCGTTATGGGTATTTTGCAGAGTCCAAAATGTGTGCACAATTCACATAGTGTAAATAGTGCGAGGGAAATATATCTACTTCACTTGAATTATCCCCGTCATTCCTATTACCTCAAGATTTTCATATGTGAACATATCCAGCATTAAATGGTGTTATATCAGTGTCTGTTTTGTATGTCAGTGTATGAAAAAATACATTGATGTTATGTGTTCTGAATTAAGATTGGGATAAAATGAAATTAATAACTCTCCTTAATAAATGAACAAAATATTCTCGTAATGAAATTTGGTGAAATGAGGAGAGAAAACTCTGTGTTCTTTTCCTTTTATATGTATTAATGCACTGTAGAACTTTAAAAAACTTAACAGGAAAAAGATGTAGTTGTGTCATCAGAGTTTTTAAAAATCCACCATCCAGACTTAAACTTGAACAAGTGTGTTCTTATACAAGCTGGATAAAAGAGATAGTAATGTATTTCAAAGAAATATTGTCTGCTTCAGTCTAAAGAAGCGTTAATAATTTGTTGTGAATCCTGTCAAGCAATTTAATTTTCAATTTTCAGTGTGACATTAAGGTATATATTGCCTCCTAAGGCTCCTCTTTATGCTTTTAATCTGCTGTTAGGTTTTTTTTCCTCCTGGAATAAAGACATGCTGTGTTTTTGCTCCAGAGGACATATATGTTAAGTGAATCTGTCTTACTGTTTCAAAGTCACTGTCTAGTTGTTTGGTTTCTGAGTTCCTAAATCCCCACGTTATGTCAATAAGTTGACTTGGCTTGTTATTCTCACTCAGTCACTGTTTAGCAGTTAATTTGTAATGGTAGAAACCAACTTTTATTTGGCATGTGCCTGTATGTTTGTTAGATAAAAGTCCTTTTCTGCAAGAGCCATATTACATTAGCCATGTGGATGGCATGGACAGGGAGATGAATTATTTGAAATTTGACCTGAGTGTTGTGCTGGTATCAGGAATTTGGTTTTTGAACTTAATGTGAAAACTAACAAAAGTATTTAGAAATTGCAAAGAAGCATTTGTGACCAATGGAATACCAACATACAAAATTTAATGTGTTTTGGTTATGATATGCCTGAGATTCAAATCATCATGATTAGGAAAGATATAAAACCACAAGGCATTTGTAACTCCCCTATTTCATTTTTCTACTGTGTGCAGTATGTACCAGCCAAAATAACTGAAAACCACAACGTCCGTAATGACTTATGTTGTTAAGCGGTTTGCAGGTTAGTTAAAAGGTTTATAACATTGTAAAGAATGTTAAAGAATTTTAAAAATAGAACAGGTATCCTGACTGCTTTGAAAACTGATTTACAGCTTCGGTGTATTTCAGCCTTGGTATTGTCGAGCCACTTGTATCAGACCACCACCAGTGGTGAAGCCCCTCTGTAAAGCATGTGCTCTTTCTCACAGCTAGGCTTAATTTAGAAATAAATTGAAATTTAATCCAGCATCAAAATGCTTTCTCAGTGGCACAATACGAAAAGATTTGCCTGGGTCTCCCATGACTTGCTCTGTTCTCTGGTTATTTTATTTCTGGTTTCTGAAGTGTCAAAAGCTGGTTTGCTGCTCTGAGAATTTCAGTTGGCTTTCAGAGTTCTTTCATTTACAACCTCTTACGGGCTTTTTGGGTGCCTAGCTACTGTATGGTAAGTGGTTTGTTTCTTCAGTATATGCCCGCATGGTAGAATAGTGGTAGTCTTGCTGAATACATCCTTTGTCAAAGGATCTCCAGTCTCTGAAGAGATGTGCTTTCGGTGTCTTGAAAACACTTTAAAAAGTTAGGGATTGTCACTGTTGCCATAGTTGTCAAGACCTTCGCAGATCAAATGTGGAAACCTGATACAGTGACAAGGTTAATTTAAAAATTAGTAATGTGCTAGCATCCTTTTCAGAATAACAGTATCTATTACTTGGCTGTCATTTGCAAAGGGTCGGTACTCCAGGCAGCCTGGCTGAGAGGCTGATGACAGCTGCTTTGGTTTAGTGCCACTGACAGCCTTGGGTTTAGGCCAATGTATTAACTTGGCATTTAGATAACCTGGAATAACAGGAGTGAATTTTTGTTGCTTGTAAAGTAAGGTGCAGGCATACCTCTTCCTTACACTTCTCAGACAAACTTTGCCTGTGCTTTTGCGACTTGGTAGGGAAAATTGGTGGCAGTAACAGAGGCAGGTGAATGTGTACTGGGTCACATGGTAAAGCAAAGACTCTTTAGAAATAGCTGCAACTGGTCATTTCATGGATGCCCAATCCAGTATGCAGCAATGGGAATTTTATTTTCCCTGCCTCCTCTCCTGTGGAATTCTCTTTTTTTCTTTCATATTCTCCGTGATGAATCTTTTTGGTGTCTCTGAGATTCTGTAGCCCTTAGTCTTAGTAGAGGAGCTTTGCATTGTGAAGCAAGAAGAATTTTTGGAGCGTTTTTAGCGTTAGGAGTTGTTCTTGTGAGTGTTAGCATATTAGCACATGATGTTTTGCGCTCAGCACAGCCTACCTAAGATCAGGAGGCCGTGCCTCCAGGCTGCTCTGACTGGAGAAAATTATTGACACACGTATGTAGATGGAGAGTTAGGTTTGAGGGATTTTCTTTACATTATTCTTGTGTAGAGGAATACTAGGAATTTAAAATAATACAGTGTTTCACAAATGTTGCCCAGAAAAGTGATTTCTCTAACCCAGTGTTCTTCAGTGGAGGTTCTTGATAACTCAAGCCAAAACATAGAAGAGCATAGTCAGTGCTTTTGGTTCAGTGGTGGAAAATATTTGGCCTACGTAACATTGCCTGTTTCAAGTGCCATATAAAGTCTTTAACCTTCCTGGCCTTGATGACTGTTGATGCTTTCTTTTCTTTATGATCATTACTGGTGTCCTCTAGATTCTGCAAGCCAGCGTTTTGAGTGTCATGTCTGGATTCCTTAGCGTCAGATTTATTACTGAATTGCTTTGATTTGGATAGTTCTGGAGGCTTTGCATTCTGACATACTAAGAATCTTCAGGGAGACGATCGTCATTGTCCCTCTTAACTTCTGTTATGTTAGAAAAGTGAAAATAAAAATCTTCTCCCTCAACAAAACTTCAAAACTAGAGCCAGTGTAGTACTCTAAAAACAAGAATGCCAAAGGCCAAGAATTTAAAGAGATGCTTATGATAAAAAGTAGAATTTAAGGTTATTAACAACTTAATTAGAGTATTTCTTAAATATTTCTCAAAAAACTTCTGACTTCTTGTGTGTTTGCTTGTTACATGTATTCTGACACCTTGTATATGCTGCAAATTTAAAGACTAAACATTTTCTTTTAAGTCCTCCCGTTGAATCATCTGCTGAATCAAACTTGATCGCTGAACTTCAAGAGAAACTTCAGGAAGAAAAAATCAAGTTCTTAGAGCAACTTGAAGAACAAGAGAAAAGAAAGAATGAAGAAATGCAGAACATCAGAACATCGCTCACAGCAGAACAACAGGTAAAGCTGATGCTTTTTAATTACTTTTTCTCCCATGACAGTTATATTATTTTGCTGTTTTGAAGTTACGGAGTTGTTTGGGGCTTTTTGGCTATGTAACACTTAAACTTTCTAAATGTGTGCTATTATATGAAGCCAGGATATGATGTGTTATTAGAATCCAACACTCGAGCCTAGATATAAAAAAACCACTACCCAACAAACGAAAAATTCCACCTTAAATATCTGTTAGCAGGGCAATCCAGATTCAGTTTTTGTTATTTTGTGAATACTTTTACATAAGTTGTTAAGGTAGTGCTGTAAATCTTTATCCATTAATCTCTTGGACTGCAGAAGGATACCCGTTAAGTATAGTCGTAAGTTAACAGCACAGAATTTGTGGACAACACAAAATTACGTATTTGAAATACTAATAGATTCAGAATGCTGCTTAATGGCTTCTAAACTTCATTACACTGGACAGGTGACATTGAGGTTTAAAGCAAATGTTGTATTTTATTTAATAAACTTAGAAACACTGTGTACTTCAAACTCTGATACAAAATCATGTTGCACTGGATTAATGATTATAACCATATCTGTACTTTTTCCTTCAGTTCAGAATATCTTGAATCTCTTAAATGTTGTAGATAAGTCTTCAGTTCTTAAATCTGTTAGTAACAGCTATTATCTTCAGCTTTGCATTTAAACACTAAGAAAGGATTTTCTGTTTTAAGCACCTCTACTTACTATAGCTATGGTAGGATCAAATAAGGACAAAGTGACAGTGTAGCGATCAGCCAGCTTGGTGAAGAAGCACAATGTATGAATGGCTTCATGCATAGAGCAGAAAATTGCAAATGGTTATAAAGAAAGGAATATTTTTGGAATTTCTGGGCCCCGAACCTTAATATACTTATGTGAGACTTACACAGCAAACCTAAGAGGAATATATCATACATTACATTGGCAATGGTAAGATTTCTCTTCCCATCAGAATAGGCCTTAATATACCATTTTCTTCGTTATCTAATATGTTGGGTTTTTTCTGCAGCAGAGTGTGGAAGGGAAGGTACTGAGGCATGAACAGCAAATTCCAGGGAAAGATGGAACCTTTTCTTTAAAAATAAAAATCACCAAACCAACAACAACCAAAAAAAGGCAAAAACCTGTTCTGACTGTCTGCAGAAATATGCTTCTAACTTCAGGAAGTACAACCTTTTAGAAAAGACTCGGCTGAAAAGTAAAATCACTGATCAGAGTTGGTTCTGTTTAGCTCCAGCCAGGACAATACAGTATTTCGGTCAGTGCTCCCAGCTCACCTGACTGGCTTTGCTGATCACTGTGTCTGGGCATTTATCCTCACCTTTGTCATATTTTTCTCAGTCAAGTTACCCGAGAGGTGTTACTTATGCTTGTGGTGTGTGATAGTTTTGTTGTGCAGACATACACCAAGGGCCACTGTGCACTGTGTAAGGTATGTAGCCTGCCAAATAGCTTGCATTAAGACTGCGAATTAATAGGCATCGGTCAAGACAATCTTAAAATTCACCAAAAAAGTTAAACTGTAATTTAATATTAGAAGGTTCTGTCTGTGTCTCCACCGCAACCTTTAGTAGAAGGGCTAAGGGAGGATGTAGAGGTTAGTAGGATAATTGAAGACGTGGAAAGATTTATCAGACTGATACCGAAGGATATGCTAGCCTCTTCTATGTCTAGTTATTCAAGCTATTAGCCAGGTTTCCTGCATGACATCTCCATTAATTAATTCTTCACTGAGGAATTAATGCATTACTTGAACTGTATTTGTAATTCAGATTCTAGTATACTATTCTAGTTTATTAATAATTATATATATAACATTTTGATGTAGTGCAGCTTTGTCTTAAGAATTTAATCCTTAAAGTAACTTTTTTAATATAAAATGTGCAACTGTCGTGCATTAAGTGGAATATAAAGCAGTATGTTTAAAAAAATCCAACAACTTCAAGTTGTTATTTTGTAATGATATTTTGTTTATGATTATACTACATGTGTATATTGGGCTTGGGGGAACCACAGGGGTAAAAATAAAATTTAAAAAAAAATTGTTACAGAGAGTCCTCAAAACAAAATGTACAGAGATGTTACCTCTTCACCAAAGTAATATGTGAACAAGTTTTAATTCCTTGTTAACAGATATGCGTGATATGTTTTGTACTCTTTTTGTTCTAAGTACATCTCATATTTCAGTAATGCTTTTCTGTTTTCTGTTTTCAGACCAACTTTAACACTGTTCTGGCAAGAGAGAAAATGAAAAAAGAGAGCATAATTAATGAACTCAGTGAGAAATTGAAAATGCTTACACAACAGCAAGAGAAAGATAAGGGTAAGCAAAGTTCTGAAGGATTCATCTTCTGTGATAGGACAATTCCATTCATTACAGATTGGTTTTGATCCTTAATGCTGCTGTTACTGAAAGAGTTTTTATTTGTGTCAGATTTGATTGAAACACTTTCTGAAGATAGAGCTCGCTTACTTGAAGAGAAGAAAAAGCTTGAAGAGGAAGTTAATAAACTGAGAAGTAGTAATTTTTCTCCATCAACCTACTCAGCAGCAGCTTCAGAAGTTTGTGGAGCCTGTGCAGCCGATATTCCCATTGACCCAGACAAATTAGTTTCTGACATTGCAGGTGAAGGGAGAATGGACTCCACGATGGAAACTAGTATGATGGCTGTGCAGTAAGTATGGGACATTGTAGTAGAAATACACAAAGCATGCTTTCTTTCTTTAAATGTATGCCTCTGGTTGTTGTGAAGTACAAATGAGCATATTTAACATTCCTTTTGTCTTTGACGTTCTTGCTAAAAATATTTTTTTAAATGGCACATCTACCATTTTGGTGTCACAGTCGTCAGAAGCGTGTGGTTTTGGTGTCTTAGAAGTATGCTACTTAAAGGTGAAACTTGGCCCCACAATTACAAAATGAAGAAATAGACCTAAATGCATGAAATAAAAGTCAAACAGGAGAACAACAATTGTGATAGTGAATGGGTGGGTGATTGCATGTTATTGGCATTTCTTTTGAATGATGGCTGACTCTCATTTAAAAACAAGTGTTCAGCAGCTCTTTGTTTGGGAGTCTTTTGGGTTTGTTGTTTTGGGGTTTTTTTTGTATACTCTCTCAGTCATCAGTACTGTGAGCTGTGTTGTACTGCTGATTTATTAGAAGGTGGTGAAGGGTCTGGGAAAAAAATGAGGAAAACAGCTAGGGAAGCAACTTACATCAAGTTAAATGTTTCTCTTAAGATTGCTTCATTTGTGTTTGAATCTAGTTGACATTCTGGGTTTACAACAGATTCAAATAATATTATGTTGATATTATGCACATTTAACCATTAGTCACCCTTTGTGTAGGGAGGCTTAATTAGGTAGCGGTTAGTTTACAGGTAGGTCTCTGAAGCTCTGCTTGAAATATTGAAGTGATTATAGAGTTCAGAAGGAACTTCGGGAGTTTTTTTGCAGTCATCAACCTCACTATACTCTCTTACTTATGGTGCCCTACAATAAAAGTGCACTTTGTTACTGGCCTAGAACACCTTGTCTTCTTGAGCGTCTACATGTAAAGCTGGTAGACTTTGGTCTGGTCTTAGATCAGAGTCTACTTGACCAGTGAAGTCTTCTGACTTAAATAATTCTGACTGGTACAAAGTTGTCCCATTGGTTCTTGTCAGGAAACCAGCCTACAGCAGATGTATTTTCTGTTTTTTCAATACTGACTTCCATGAAAACATACATCAAGTTTAGAGCCTTCATTCTTAATTTAAATGTACCTAAAGTAATGTTGTAAAGTTTTTTGAATAGTAAAGATTGTCTGATACTCCAAGAGAAGGTGCTGTGGTGATGCCTGCTGATATCCTATTTTTTTTACCCCAGTTGTCTTAAACATTTTAATAAATTTCTCTTAACATAGAATGTTAGGCTTTAAAATTTTGTACTAAGATGAGAACATTATATTACATGTACTGTCTGACTAGAACAAGACAAAATGGATTGCACATATGTGTGCCGTTACAATAGGGCTCATTACTGGAAGATACTTGGCTATTATCATGCTTAGTGCAGTATGAGAATCCATTTGGAATTGATTACTGGGACAGAATTCAGAGCAAAAAAAAAAAGATAAAAAAGGTTTGCGCAGGACATTCCAATTATTTTTAGTTCCATATAGAAACTGAGGATAAATAGTAAAATTAAAAAAATCTACAGTATTATTAATATTTCTGCTAGAGCAGCCTAAGAAAACTGAAATAGTCAATGTTTAGTATTTTCTGCTAATTCATGACAACTGTTCATCATGCTAACGCTTTCTACCTCCTTGTGGTGGAAGATGGCATTCCTTAAATTCTCTATACTATTTTTGTACCATGTCTAAGATGTCTAAGGAAATTTTATTTGACCTGTAACGCACTTCCAAATATTAGCAGTCATGGAATCAAAAAATCATAGAATTTTTTGGATTGAAGGAACCTTTTAAAGTTCAGCCCTGCTAAAGTGAGCAGAAACATCTTTAACTAGATCAGGTTACTCAGAGCTCGATCCAACCTGACCTTGAATATCTGCAGGGATGGGACGTCTACCACCGCTCTGGGCAACCTGTTCCAGTGTTTTACCACCTTAATTGTAAAATATTTATTTCTTATATCTAGTCTAAATCTCTTTTAGTTTAAAACGATTACCCCTTGTTGAATTGCAACAGACCCTGCTAAAAAGATTGTCCCCAGTCTTTCTTATAGGCTCCCTTTAAGTATTGAAAAGCCACAATTGGGTCTCCCTGGAGCCTTCTCTTGTCCAGGTGAAATAACCCCAACACACTCAGCCTGCCCTCATAGGAGAGGTGCTCCATCCCACTGACAATTTTTGTGGCATTCCTCTGGAGACGCTTCAACGGGTCCATGTCTTTCCAGTGCTGAGGGCTCCAGAGCTGGACAGAGCAGGGAGGGTCTCAGCAGAGTGGAGCAGATGGGCAGGATCACCTCCCTTGACCTGCTGGACACTCTTCTTTCAATGCAGCCCAGACTATGGCTGGCTCCCTGGGCTTCAAGCACACATTGCCAGCTCCTGGCCACTATTAAGGGTTAACTGCCCCAGCATTTGGACTTGTATCTTTCATCCTGATGTTTTGAAAATAATGAAAAAGGTGAGGAAATGGCCCCATGTAACTTTATAAACTGAACTGAAAGTTCACTCCCTTCTTGCAATAAGGAAGGTCCTTGGGTTTAAAAAAAATTAAGCTTATTCTTAAGGTATCTTTCTGTGCTGTTCCCTCTATGTTAGCAAATATGTAACCTTCATCGCTGAGTGAAAATAGAGAGTGTGAAAGATTTCTGATGGTGAAAAAAATTCAGTTTTAACCTATTCATTTTTTTCTTTCTCTTTTAGTGAAAATGTCCATATGTCTGAAGAGAAACAGAGGATAATGTTGTTAGAAAGGGTGAGTAGATTGTTAAGCATGAGAACTATACACCTGTAAATGTGTATGTGTGAAGTTTTGCTGTGGTCAGTTACGTACTCTGGTACAATATAGTATCTGCAAGGCTTATAAATACCATAACAGGGAACGTTTATTCATTATATTCATTTATTCGTTGTATTCATTTATTCATCAGTATAATTTGTTCAAGTAATTCAAAATAATTATTAATGCACAATACTTATTAGTACTTCAAGCTAGACTAAATATGAGTCTGGCATAGTACGTCATAGGAATGACAAGTCGTAGATCTAGGAAGTCTCCGTAGCAAGAAAACAGTTTTGTTTACTTTTTAAAATGAAGGCATCAAAAACAGCCAAACAGGAATTAAAACGTGTTTCTCTTGGAAATGGGTAATTTCTCCTCTTAGGCTGCTGTTAGATCCTTTTAATTCTTCCTGGGGTGCATTGTAATCTTGACAGTATTGGTTCTGTAAAAAGTGAAATAACACTTGTTATGAATGTGCTTAAAATTACAATTTTCTGAAGTAGTGGTCATGTTTCTACAGGCTAGAATTGTAAGGTTATACCTCAGCCTCCTGGTACTCTTAAATACATACCTTAAATTTTCACTTCTGTTGTAACTTATTTTGAGCATAGTTTTTCAGTCGACACTGAGAAATTGAAACTTTTTGATGAGAGAAAAAAAACAAAAAACAGAGTGCCTTTAGCTTTCAGCTTTCTAGGATCACTTAGACTAAAATCTGTGATCACTTAGAGGACGTAAATGTTTTCTATTAATGGGTTGTAGCGCTGCATGATGCACGTGACTGGATGTTTCTGACTAGGAACACTTACATGCTTTATTCTGTCATGCACTTACAAAGGATTTGTCACAGGTAGAAGCTATAAAATAGTAATATATTACATTTCTTTTGCTGTTCTATCAGTGAGATGTTTTCTTAAGAAGAATGACTATAGAAATAACCAAAGCTTAGCAGTGCTTTTTGTAGCACTGCTAAACTTGAAATTCTCTTTTTATGTGTCTTTTATTCAAAAGATGTTTTGATATTTGCTTAAAACAGTGTTGTTGTAAATATATATAGTGTATAAGTAGTCTGGTTCTAGTCCTATCAAAATTTAAAAAAAAATGTTTACACTGTATAAGATGTGTCATAAAATTATTTTTCAGACTTTGCAGTTGAAAGAAGAAGAAAATAAGAGATTAAATCAAAGATTGGTAAGTATTCGTACAATGCATGTTTTAAGTCTCATGAAAAAAATAACAAAAGCTTACAACTGTTTAGTTTGCTAAAATGTAAAATTTTGGGCTTTATTAAGTTCAAAAGTGTTGTCAGTGGCAAATAGGTAACTTGATAGCCTTTCAGAGGTACCTCAAGTTACTAGTCTTGTCCTGGAGAAGATTCACAGAACTGGAAAGAATGAGATTTCTTCCCAAAGAAGTCAGACCGTCGAGGCTTGGGGTAGAAGGAGTTCATTTCACTTGTGCCATGCCTCAGTTTTTCAATAACAGTACACTATAGGACAGTTTACAAGAATGTAAATATCATAGAATCATAGAATGGCCTAGGCTGGAAGGGACCTTAGCGATCATCTAGTCCAACCTCCCTGTCATGGGCAGGGACGCCACCTCTTGACTAGACCGGGCAACACATGGGGACCGAGCGGGAATTGAACCCACGACCTCGGTATTGACATTGTTGTCAGCACCGCGCTCAAACCACTGAGCTAACCGGCCCCCTAAATATGCCTGCACATTACGCATAATTAGGAGCATTAGCAGGAACTTAAATTATTGGTTTTGGGAAACTGCAGCTGTCATTTTTGTAAGGTGTGAAACTTAAGTCTGCCTAGCAGCTGGAAGTACAACCAACCATCGTCTTAAATATAAGCACTCAAGTAATAGTCAATGCCTACGGAAGAAAAAAGGATATAGTGAGACTTCCCTTGATGCCTGTGCTATGAATCCTTCTCCTTTTATTTATCCACAGTTTATCCTTCCTAGCAGGTCTCAACCTGCTTAAAAAAATTACTATATGGGAAACAGATGCTTCATTTGGCAGTTTCTTTAAGTGACAGGTGATATTTAGCAGTTTGATAGGAACCAATACCTCTGTATCGGTTGCAAGTTATATTTTGTAGCAGAAATGTTTGATCTGCAATAGGAGCTGTCATTTTTCTGTCTGGGATAGAATTGAAATTTCCTATGTAATTTACTCCTGCTACGTACTTTTCGTTTTCATACGTATTTTTTTTCCAAGCACTTTACCCTTGCCATACTGAAACCTGTACCTAAAAACCTCACTAGAGCAGGGCATAAGAAAGCATTGCGGGACATAGAAAAGCGCATTTTTTAAATGATATTTTTTATTTCGAATGTTAATGAAGTGCACAAAAGGTATTTCAGTGTAGTTTTAAAAATAAAACTCCATACAGTGGACAGTCTTCTAAAGCTCTCTGTAGATTTCCTGAATTAAACTCTTGATCTTTTGTCACGTCAAAGTAAAATGAAATTGGAGAAAGCAATGTTGTAGAAGATAAACACAGAATTCTTTTTGTTGATATGATTAATATGAAGCCATGTAGGAGAAATTGACAGCTTATTGGTGCCTAAAGCAATTGAAAATTGGTTTCTAAATGGGCATAGGAACATAATATCTTCTCAATTCCTTTTTTGTAAATAGATTTCTTTATAGATAAAATAAATTATTTTTATTTCTTGTTTCTGTACACTTCTTTCTCTCCTCCCATTCCCTAGCATTTCTAAAATGGAAATATACATCAACACTTAAATGTATATTTATTTCTATCAATATATTTATTTCTTTCAATATTTATTACTATTAAGCTATTTTAGATAAGCCCAGAAGGGATCCGGCATATAAAATGGGAAATCTGTTCAGGTCACTGGCTTTTGTAGCAACACTTGTGCATTAGCTCTGCAAGAAAGGAAGAAGAAAAAAGCCAAGCAAAGGAGTTCCTTTTAATACTAGGGATTTTTGTTATTTTATATGAATTTATTGAGAACGGTAACATTTTTTTAAGTGTGAAAGCTTTTAGAACTCTACTCATAAAACATTCTTTACTGAATTTTAATGGAAATAACGTTCTAATTTGTTCTGGTTTTCTTAAAGTTAGAAATTAATAAAAAATACCAAAATCAAGCTACTTTGACTTTTAATTTAACACTGATTCCAGTTCTTAAAAAAATTAAGAAAATTCTTGGTCTTAACATCTCAAGAGAACTCTCACAAACAATTTCGCGAACAATCTAAGCAAATTATACATATCTGACAACTGTCATGTTAACTGCAACTCTTTCAGGAAAGAAAACTACAATATAAGTCAATGAAATGTAGTCTCTAACAAAAGAAAGAATGATCTGAAGTTGGACCCCACAAAGAAAACTGCTGAAAGCGTCAGCAGAAGTGGAGAGCTTATTCTGTTTTACTGGACTCATTCTTTGAAGAAATGACGAACATGAGCTGTGAATAGGCTTCAAGCTCATATTAAAACAGGCTGATAGTGTTTCTGGGAAGTGGGGGTGAACTCTGACAACAGGAAATATGTTGTAGGTAACAATATTTGAGTTATAGCTGAAAAATCATCTACTGAACTTCAGATCTAGATCACTCTTATTTGAATAGCAGTGTAAATGGTCTACGAAGTAGGAACTTATGAAAAAACTGCAGAACTGCTAGTCAGAGTTTCTACAGGGCCATTATGATTTGTCTTCTGTAAGGAACTTACCAGAGAGTGATGAAATGTATACGTTTACGTCAGATCAGCTTGTCCATCTACTTGCATGTATGTGGGATAAGTATCCCTTTGTAGGTACAAAATAGCATTTTCATTCCTTACCACAGTTACTTTACAAAGTGTGTGTACACTCATTCATTTTTACATCTAGTTTATTGCATTGAAGTTGGTTCATATGTCAGTACTAAACAGATTTGAAGGCAAATATCATATGTATAGGAGGTAAGAATTTTATCCAAACATTACATAATTGAGTCTTTTTTGGTCTTGGTAAATTTGACTCCAGTTTTATTCCAGGGAGTGCTGCTCTGTCCGTTGCAGTAGACAGTCCATAGTGAAACAGAGAGGGAATATGGAGTTCAACATACACAGTTTAATTGCAGTAAATGTGTTTAACCTCCAATGTTTTACCATCAGTCTTTCTTAGAATGCAAGGGGCTTCTGTTAGAGTGCACAGCTATATTATAGATATTGTGTATGCTCAGAACAAATCTTCATTGGAAAGCACTTCTCGATTTTAAATAATGATGGAGAAGTCAGTTATGTAAGAAATTTCATAATCTAAGGTAGCTATTTACAAAACAAAACAAACCCGAGACAAACACTATGAAACCACAAACAACCCTATCTGCTGCTAAACAGGATGACAGAAAGGTATGCTGTTTTCTAGAGCTCATATAAAGTCTACAACACTAGACACTGTTTGAAATCAATCATTATTTATCTTAATAATGTTGTTAACTGCAGCATACATTTCATCATAGGTTGCCAGTACTTTATAACTTTTCTCTTTTTTTTATAGATGTCCCAGAGCATGTCGTCAGTATCCTCAAGACATTCTGAAAAAATAGCAATTAGAGAGTAAGTACATGTTGATTTTCATGTAAACAGATGGATATGCCTTCAATAATAAGTATGTATTAATGTTACAATTCTTCTGTTCTTGCTCTGGAGAAAAGATCTATTGGTTATCTCGGCAGTTTTAGCTGTCAGTTAATGAACCATCCCAAGTGGGCATAAGTCAAATCTCTACACCACTTATTTTAAACAAACAAAAAAGGCTTTTTGGAGTTCTATGTGTAGGTGGCTTTCTTCAGTTCTGTGCCTTTTTGTATGCCCTTCATAAGGCTAATACCTCATGGGATTTTTAGAATCCTCCCAGAGTTTTCTTTTAGATTACTTTTTTGTTGACCTGTAGCTTTCTTGAAATCATGCTCAGAAAAAGTAGAAGGAATCTTGTTCACCCTGAATATGCATAGTGCTACATCATGTTTCAAGAGAAGTTTTACCTTTCTGAAGTCTTCAAAATTTTTGACCTTGCCTTGAGAGAATGAAATTAGTTCAAGTATTTTGTTAGATATTATCAATCTGTTAGCAGCTGCATGTAGAATTGCTGCTGGAAAAAGAAGTATGTATTCTTGCAAAATATGAAAGCTACAGACAATTTTTCGTAACTAATTTGTCAGTCTCAGTAATACAAAAAATATTTTTCCAAAGAACATGAACAGCGAGTTATCCCTTTAATATTTTCTGAATTACACCAAAATGCATTTTTTTGGCAACAAGGTCAGTATATGTGCAGAATTAGCTTTTCCCTTGAGCATCTGAGTATTCTGGCAGCTCTCTTGGTAGTCTTTAGTGAGGAAAATGTTGTGAAAGAATTATTCATCTGTTCAATAGAGATGTCTTTATTTAAGTCAGTATAGTCTGTCATCATAAGAAGTCCACGCAGAAAATCTTGGAGTACTGTTTATTTAATCTGAAAGTGAACTTGAAAGAAGATGAGCTAAATTTCTCACTAGATTTACCTCTTTATCTCTGATGATGAATTTGTGGTCTCCTTTTATGAAGAATAATTTTCCCTTTTCTTTGCTGCTTCCTCCACCATCCTCAGAGCAGTAGTAATATTTATTCTTCTCTTATAGTATAATACTAAACTTGTAGCTATTTTAGACTTCATTGCATTAACAGAAAAATAATTTACTTCCAATACTTTCGCACTGTGAAACAGAAATTGGAGACAGAACAAATCCTCTGAATTCTGTTACTGAAACTTGGCACGAGAACTTGGTGGCCTCTTGTGTTATCCTGGTGTCAGGGAAAATCAGATTTTTCGAACTTTAAATTCACCACAATGTTTCTTCTGCTTTTAACCCTTAGATCAAAGATGAACACTTCATCCCTTTGTGTTGTGTGTACTTAAAATATTAAGATTGAATAGCTACATAAATGTTTTGCTGTATTTTTCTTTGTTGAAACTGATGTCACTTTAAAATAGCAAGAGTGTTTCTAAAAACTTCTGTTTACTGTTCAACTAAGTCTCAGTCTGCTTAATACTTGGGGAAAAATTGTAGTGTGACTAAAGTAGCTTTAAGCTTCTATACTTTTCTTAGTTAATTTTTTTTCTTTCCCCCTCACCGCAGTTTTCAGGTTGGCGATTTGGTTCTTATTATCTTGGATGAAAGGCATGACAACTATGTGTTGTTTACTGTTAGTCCAACCTTGTATTTCTTGCACTCAGAATCACTTGCTGCCCTGGATCTCAAACCAGGTGAGTGTGGTAAGTGTCAGATTACTTCCAATTATTATCTCCTTCTACAAATAATACTGAACATTTGAAATAAAAAACATGTGAAATTTTTAAAAAATTATTTATATGTTAGTATCTTGGAAAAATAGGGAAGAATGTCTGCATCTGCAACCTGTTAAAAAAACCCAGCAAGATAGAAAATGCCGATTTTGTACACACTCAGAGTATGTTAACCTGTCTTTGGAGAAGACATTTCCATCAGGCTGCCTAGTTATTCAGTAGCATGAATGATCATGTATAATTGTGTAGGGATCAGGCTTATTTTTAGTCAAGTATATGTTTTCAGTGTCTTTTGGTGAGAAAAATAAATACAAAACTCAAGGTATCTCTGTCAAAACTGCAGGCTCTGTTTTGGTTTTTTTAATACATAATTTTGTGATGATCCTTGAAGATTGTCTTTGGATAAATTTGTTCTCTCTGTAGCTCATCTTCTGCAAAGTGACTGGAATTTATGAACCTAAATGCACGTCTGAAATAACAAAATGTATGTCACAGTAGACTGAGATTTGCAAGCAATGTTTTGCTGTTAACATTTTTCCACCCAATTTAAATGGTATTTTGCAGGGCTCATAAGATTTCAGAGAAAGTTCCTGTATGTTTTGCTTATGTTCAGATTGATGGCAAATGTGCCATCAGTCCTAAATGATCAGGGATCTAAGTTCCTGTGGGTTGTCTTTGTCTACATTAAGAGCACTTAGAATGATATGACAACACTGAAATTAATTTAGGACTGCATCGTTTCTGTGTTGTCCCTTATCTTTGGAATATGGAAGCTTTCATCTGCAAATATAAGAAAAAAACCAAAACACATCTGTGTCTTTCTCACTGTCTTTGTTACATCAGTCAAGGCTGTCAGCCAAGCAAGTTGAAAAAAAAACTTGTTTTTTTGTATTTTTAATATTAGTTGTAAAGCATTCAGGCCAGATATTTGTAGGAGTGTGGAGCAGAAGAGAGACTGTTCCATTGTCAATAGTGCAGATTAATCTTGAAAGGCAAGATTAAAATTTCAAACTCTAGTTCTTGAGTGACTCATGTCACTAGGTAGTGTCTCATAGTCATGCTTAGAAAAGCGTTGATTTTAGTATTATGCAGAGCATGTGTGAGCTGTTCCTTCTGTCTGTTTTGATGTTTTCACGCTGTAATTAGTGATAGTTAGGAAAGAGCAAAGCAAGTAAAATGGATATGATTACTTGGAATACAAGACATATGTTCTTCTTTTCTGCTACGTTTGATGCTCTTTTGACCTGTCACTTTATTATGGAGGTTTTTTACTTTTCTGCTTTCCAGACAGTAGCAGGTACGCTTAGAAGACTGCAACCAAAACTAATAGACTTGTAGGGCTTTAAAATTACTATTTATAAGTAACTAATTTCCATCACTAATACAGAAAAATAATCAAATGTTTCGGTAAAGGCAATAGCATTGACTGAGTACAGAAGACTTTCTATCCTTTGAAATACTTCAAAAAATTCCTACCTTAAATTAGACCATAAGGTCAAACTTTGTAGCTAGAATAATTTTGAATCAGTGAATGAATTTCAGTTTTGATTTGCTTTTGTCTTCTCTATATGTTAACTTTTACAACTTTACTGAAAAATCAGGTTTTTTTGAAAATGCCAGTGACATGTTTTGACATTCGAACTTATTTTTTTAAATTTCACTGGTTTCAGTGAAATCATTTTAGCAAATAACCTTGAACGGTATTGAATGCTACATCCTGTTACTTGTAGCTGATTATCTAAAATACTAAATGCATCATCTGTTTAGTTTCAGGTGCATCTAGGAGACCTTGGGTGCTGGGAAAAGTGATGGAAAAGGAATATTGCCAAGCAAAAAAGGTAAGGAAATAGTAACGGATAATCATCTGATAAAATTAATAGAGAAGAAAATCAGATTTAAAGTTTGTAACAGATGTGAAAATACTATCTGCATAATAAGTGAGATGAAAATTGTCCTAGGTTCTGCCATTCCCACTCTGATTTTTTTAGACAGTGAATAGCAAGTGAAGGGGAGCTAGAAAAAAAGGATTAAGTGAGCAGTAGCTTGGGTCATTGTGTTCATCCTGCCCAGAACCTTGCCAGATTCCAAAGTGTTTCATAAATGGTGAGGGGTGGGAATCAGCATCTCCTTAAAAATATAAAAATCGGAGGAATAATCCCACATTTTCTAATGCTTTTTTTGGTTTTGTTTTGTTTTTTCTTTTGTAGGCACAAAACAGATTTAAAGTTCCTTTGGGTACAAAATTCTACAGAGTGAAAGCAGTACCATGGAACAAGAAAGTATAACACAACAAAATTCTCGTTGACTCTGTCTCCATTCTTTTTTGACTTGTCCTTCAGTGCTCGTTCATCGCTCCAAATGCCAGGCCATCTTTTTATACTGAGGTCATGTGACAAGATACGTCATTGATGTACTGCTTTTACTTTTTAACAGGTCACATTTTAGAAACAAGAATTTCATCAAAAGCTCTGGCCCTAACTGTCCCAGTTTTTTTACCCAGATAACTTTAGGAGTGTGGACCAAATGAGTTCATTTTCTCAAAGGGCAGCCACATGAAACATGGTTTGGTAGCCATGCTAATTGCCTGTTAAATATACATTAGCTTGTATTTAGATGTTAAATGTTAGTTACCATTATTACCAGCATACATCATTTTGTGAAATCATTATCAAAGTACTTGCACTCTTTAACAGATTCTTTATATGTGTAAAATTCATCAACTATTTAAAGAGGAGTGTTCATTGCATGCAGATAATCATATAATTTTTCTTCAACATGAGTTTGCCTCAGTAGATGAATAAAAATAACTACTGCAACTTGTTTCATTACATGAAAATGCTCTTTAATGTCAAAAAAACTTGTAATTTGATAGACTGATTTTGGAAATCAGTCACAGTTAGATCTGCAATCTTCAGAAGCACTTTCGATGGATTGATCACACAGATTCTGAAGGGAAGACACCTGTGCTGTTCGTCCAAAGTGAAGCATTTGTTCTTCCCAACAAAACAGAAATCTTGTATTGATCTATTTAGAAAAATCATATTGATGAAATTGTATTTCATGGTTGAGTTTCAGGAAAAAACTCATTGTACATTAACCATACAAGAGTCATTTAAGTAACAAATTATTGTAATTGTAAAAGACATGTAGAATTTTAAAACAATAAAGATTTGAAACTCTATGTGTTTGAAGTATTTGTGTGCCTTTTAAATACTATCTACAATATGTATTTCGTGTTAACCTGTTGCAGCTTCTCTCTGATTTGTCCAGCAATTTCATTACAAAAAAATACCTAAATTTTTTATAAAAGGCATTAATATTCAACAGCATTAAGGACTTACAACAATTAGCTGGTAAAAATAAAAAATAATTTAAGTAGAAATTAATTTTGTACAATATTAAAAAGATAAATGACATTTTTCAAAAGTTTGTATTTGCTACATTTTTAAAATGTAGTCTTATTTTTTTAATAACAGTATAAAAAATGTACTATAAATATGCAGCCAATGGAAAGTGAAATTCTGAATTCAGATATGACTTTATGTCTAGGAATTAATCTACAGAGTTATTCAACAGTGATGTATCTTCAGAAGGTGTGGAGTGGAGGAGGAGAAGAGGTAAAGAAATGATCACATGAAAATGTCAGTGCTTCTGCCCATATGTTGCAAATAATATTCCTCCAGAATAACCAGTCTACTACCCAGAAACTTCTGTATATGCTTTATTTAAAGTTTTGTTGCATAACAATTTTAAGTTCAGATTTCTATGAAATGCGTGGGCTTGTAATTGTATCACACCTTTGATGAAATAAATCCTAAGACAGGTGATATCTGGAAAACAGAATGTCTTTTTGTCAAGTTGCATTCTTGCCCAACTTAAATTTGCTGATTGATGTACTGGCTTTTAAAGATTACTTATCAAAAATTGTGCCTTGTTCTTCAAGAACAGTATTGCCACAGCTGAATATTGCCCAGTGTCAAATATGTAAATAACATAGATCTACAGAACGGGTTTAAAGCAAAAAAAGTTGTGATGCAATTTTTTTTTTTAGCCCTAAATTTCTGACCTTCAACTAAATGGCAATTCAGTTCCGTCTGTGATTTAGTGAAGTCTTGTTACCTTAACCAACCGAGTCACAAGTGGTTTAAGAAGATGCACACGTGACAGGATTCGTTCCTTCAAATATTCAATGTTTGGAAGCCTCAGTATCTTTACACTCCACTGGCAACACTTCCCCAGCCTCAGGTAATCTCCCTACTGCTGTGAATATGATTTGTTCTTTAGAGACTAATTGTGTCCCAGAAACCACCAGGCTTAGCTGTGAGTCAGAGTCCTGTTTCTGGGAGGACAGTTGTCCCTTGAGTAGCAGCAATGGATCTGTGTAGCAACGTGCAATCCAGCGCTACAACCCCACCCTTCTGTTACTGAATAGTCTACTGCAAAAATAAGTAAAAGGTGCCCCAGAATTTCTTCCATGGAGGAAGAATGTGTTGTCAAGATCTTCCAAGTTGGGGAGGACTGCAGAATTGATGATGGCAGGTTCTCAGGTCCTGCAGGACTAAGTACCTACAAGCAGCACTTTAATTTTCGCATGCGCAAGAAAAAAAAAAAAGTGATTTTCTGATACTCTGATCTCACTAATCACTTGGCTCCATGCCAAGAGGAGAAAAAAAAATCTTGCCTCTTTTGTCCATAAAAGATCTGGGCTTTCTAGTCTCCATTTGAAAAAAAAAATACATGTATTTAAGCTTATATGTGGACAGTAGCTGTGTTGATTTATGATGCTATGAAAGTTGCCTTGATTCTTTAGCTTAAGATAGACAGAATCATGACCGAGATTTATATAATTCAAGCACATGAGCAGTATGTGAAAGTGAACTTGTGAAGCACCTAAATAAATTAAAAGTACTGTAATGCAAACTGAGAGGTAAGAAAAAGTCTGTCCCTGATGATACCTGCCACTTAAAAGAATACTGGGATGTATCTGGTGTTATTACGTGACATCATATTTTTAAAATATAAATAACCAGCAATGGCTTTGATTTTTTTAGGAATATTTTTCATGTGTTTCATTTTATTATCTTTATGTATATTCAAAATGGAAATTCTGTCAAACAAACTCCTAACACATTCAGTAATGATTCTGAACAGTCATTGAAAAAAAATGTAGTTTACATATTTTTTGTATGTCACAGTCTTACCAGCTCTTGAAACTATGCTTGTTATGCACCACCTATGTGTTTCATCTTGCTCCGTAATAAAACTTTGTATATAGCTATCTAATTTGTATGGGAAGCCTATTCAGAGAGGGGATGAGTGGAAGTTGGAGGATAAATTGGATTATCTGAGATTTCTCTTAATTCTTTTGTGCAGCTACATGTTGGAAACTTACTCATTACTAGAAAAGCCTCTTGAGCTACAGCTAGCATCTGTTTATTCTGCAAGTCTGGCTTTAGACAAAAGCAGCTATATTTTTCAAAAATGAACATGAATGGTAGAAAAGGTTGAAAGCAAATGTTATCCTGCAGAGTTAACACAAAAGGGCCATGATAATTTTAAAGGTTTGTTGGGTGTTTTTTTTCTTTCAGTGTTCTTGGAAGGCTATGTCTGAATACTTTGAGAAGCACATGTCTTCTTGCACTGCTCTGCAGCAGGTCTCAAGTCAGGAGTTTGTGCTGTTTAGAATTCGGCTGTGATTCATTTGAATTTTAAGATTGTCTAATGAGTGGGACCAGTTCACACTTAAGTCTACACTTTTCCCTAGTTTTCCCTACGTATGTTGCACAGCAGGACTGGCTGTTCTGCAAGATTATTCTGTGCCTTTTTGCACTTCAAGGTTACTCTACGCTGTATCCTTTTTTGTTTTGTGAAGTTTTAGCTAGGTGCTGGATTGGCTGTAAACAGCTATAGCAAAAACTGAATAGTACTTTGTAGTACTTGTTCATTCCTGTAGTTTTTTCATTAATAAATTATAATGTGAGGAATTATTTCTTAGTGCTGAATTGATAATTCTAGAAATGGAGCACTTCCTATACAAGAATTCTGTTGCCTTTTCAAGCTACATTTGCCTATTAAACTTCAATGAGCCATCTCAGTGCTGTGTGTTAAGGTCACCAATGTCTTCAGATCACTTTACAAGCCATTCTGCAGTCCTAAAGCAGTGATAATAAATGATGAAGGATAAACAATTACTTCCTTTAGCACTCACTCTGTTAACACTCACTCATATTAACAATGTCCACATACAGAATTGAGGAACATGGGAAATTCTAGTACCAGCACTTCACATACTGGCTCTGAATGTTGACACACTCAAGCAGTGCCAGAATTGCAGAACAGTTGAGGTTGCAAGGGTCCTACTACAGTTATGTTGTCCAACACCATGCTCATGCTGAATTGATGTGGCTTTTTCACTAAAGGTCTTGAGTTTACAACTAATCTGGCAAATGTTTAATTTAGTCCTTTGTTTGGAAGGCTAGGTTAAATCTTGTAGTATAACTGGAGTAATTTGAAAATTTTCCCCTCAAAAAATTCATTGTCTTAGATAAATGCTAGATTTTACCATGCTTTCACTACAACTGGTTTTTTTTAGAAATTTTAAATGCAAGAAATATGACAGCTGCCAAAGTATTATTTCTATGGCTATTCCCACACCAAATTCTTGTTCTCTATGATAATTCCATTTCATAGTTTTAACAATATTTCATGTACCATGAACTTACAGTATATTGCTGCACTGATTAATAGTTACTCTGTATTTTTTGTCTCAACTCTGATGTTGATTGTGTCAACTTTCCTTTTCTTTCTCTAACTTTTGCTTGTTGGACTTAAATTTGCTTAACCTATGTGTCTTGGGACTTCCTTAACAGATGTTTTTCACTGTATATTTTACATTTTAGGCAAAATTTTACTGAGTAAGGAGCAGATTTTTTTGTAGTGGGAGGAGCATCGTTAATATCTCCTAATCAAGAATTTGTACCATTTGCCAAAGGATGTTAATGGAGAACCTTTGTCATCACACTCATATAGATTAATAAATCCTGTTTCTGCCCCAGTTCTCTGCATGAGATCTACCTATTCTAAACACATGGATGCATGCTTATGTATACACCTTTAACAAATGCTGATATTTAACAGCCTAAGCTGCTGTGTTTTGGTCCTGTTTACCTGTGCTGGGAGTATTAAGGGTGCAGATCTAGTTAAAGGTGTCCCTGCTCAATGCAGGGGGGTTGGACTAGATGACCTTGAAATGTCCCTTCTGACAAAAAGTATTTTATGATTTTATGTATGATTGCATTGTGTGTGTATACTGTGATGGCATATGCTTCCATTTTTGCAATGATTAATTTTTTAAGCACTGAAAAATTAGGAAGTGTCAACTTATGACCGCTTGACAAATTTTACTTTTATATTCATGAGGATGCACTTTTCAATTAGCTAATTAGGTGCTCTTTTCGTGCTCTTATATCTTCCACATCTGTTCTCACAATTACACATTAAATCCTTGCCTTGAATATATGACAACGTTCTTGTCCTTTTGATGATGACAATTTCCGAGCAGAATGCTTGCTATGTGCCTCTTAGGTAAGACATGAGAGTCTCCAGATTATTCACTTGGTTTTGGTACCTGGAAATGAGGGTGACTGATCTGAGATATTTGGACTGCTGTTTGAGAGTGTAGCAGTTTATATTTTCAAATACTGTGATCTCACAATTTGTTCTCTCTATTGTGTAAGCAAGAAACTGCTATTACAAAGTAAAACAATGTGCACAAAGGCACGTAGCACCAGAGGTAAAATTAAAGCCTTGCCTCTGTGCCCCATTTGACACTTCCAGTTCTTCTCTGAGGTG